GAAAAAAAAAAAATAGAATGTGTGAATGTAATTTCCATCAATTTAATATTTTAACTTCATGATCAATAATTGATGCTGGGTGGTCATATATCTCGCTAACTATAAAATAATTTCTTGTATAATTTTTTTTTTTTTTTTATGGTTGTGTGAGATAGAAACAGTTAGACACCTTAGGATTTACATTTTTCTCAAATTAGGATTTAAAAACTGAGTCTGATATGTTTTTACAGAAATATGTATTGGGATTGACCCAGTTTTATATAACCCATATATTTTACAAATAAGAAAAAAGAATGCTTTCTTTACAAATTTCACTCTAATGGCAAGCATTAAAACCATATTACCAAACACCAAGATGGTCATAGACGTCGGTCTTGGTAATTGAGATCTGCAAGATCCTGGAAACATTACTGGAACCAAGTTTGTATCCATAGTAATATTACTGTAAACATTTCTTGACAGTGTATTAAATAGCCCTAGATATCTTGAAATGTTGTGTAGCCATCCTCTGAATGAGTTAATGAATTATTTTTGGGGGGCTACAAGACTGTTTTACAGATGTCTTAGAGACATCTAAACCCTTGATGAAATCATAGAAAAATGTAAGAAACATCCTGTTGGCAACCCATACAATGTTTTATAGACATCAAATTAAATGTCTTGTAGCTGCCTCCTTGATCGGCAGGGACGGCGCCAAAGGGGGCGAGGGGTGGCGGGCGCTTCCCCTAAAATTTGTCCTGCCACCCCAAAAATATGCCAGCCTTTACACCCCCCTCCCCCCCCCTCCTCACCCTAATTTTCGCGCTCAGACCCACATACGCTACATGGCTCGTCATTTACCTAATTTTCTCGTCCCATGGAAAAGGCATTGGCTTGAAGGATAGCCAGCCTAAAGAGGCCTCATACCGGACGTTTTCAACTTTTTCGTGCCGTCCGCCTTATTTTCTTTACATACCCCGTGAAGAACGATGCATGAATATCGGTATGGCTTGCCGAAGCTAAGGAGCGTCGTCTACCACTCAATACCTCTGTCGCCACCCATAAAAGACCTGCTGCAAGTAGCTTCACCCGAGTGATTACTCGGAGAGACTTGGAATCCCATCTGCACTGCGCCGTCGCTTCGTACCTGCCAGACAAAGGAACTCAAGGGCACTGTTCATGTTCTGACCGAGGAAATCTCCCACAGTCCTGAGACGCTCGGGCTGACTGGCGAGTTCCCAAGGGGCGGCTTTGATGTGTCTAGGTCATCCTGCTTATTTCAAGCCTCTATGGGGTCCTTGAAACAACTTTGGTGACGGCGACTGTGTGTGCTCGGGCAAGGGTATAGGTCAGAGCCTGGCCGTTCGAGAACAGCCATGCTCCCATCATTAGTGACCCTGGGGCACAGAGTCCCTTCGAGGGACTATCCCAGGAGGTTGGAGCAAAGCTGAAAGTGTTTGTGTATTTGGGGGGGGAGTAAAACAGTGGAAGTGCTGTATTTTGACAGAGGGCTATCGAAACTGGAAGAAAGCTCTTCAAAAGGAATGCGGACTACGACGCCAGTTCAACAGTGCGGCACGCAAGATGTCCCAAACATCATCGGCTTCCTCCAAGCTGACGAAGAAAAATGGCACGGCTAAATCAGTCGCCGTGTACCTCTACCAGGCGTATTCAGCAAAGAAGGGAGAATCGTCACTACATTTACATGATCGCTGACGAGCTCTGGTTTTCCGCGGTGCAGGGGACTGCCTAAAGAGCATATGATGAGTCACGACAAGCGTGAGCGTGCTTATTTAGTATTGCGGAATGTAAACGTGCCTGAATATTTTGCACGTGAAATGCTACATTAACCAGGGTTGTAGATAGGTTGTAAAATAATGAGATAAACTGAGCTGATTTCTATTAAAACCTCCCGAAGCGCCAAGTCATCGTCCCTGAATATTTGTTCTTTTAGTCGGATTGAAAGCCCATGCCTCCCCCAAAATGCCGTGCGCCTCTCCACTGCCCCCTCTCTATGAAAAGCCTGGCGCCGTCCCTGTTGATCGGCTACATGTGCAGTCATTTTTTAGCTACAAGATGCTTGATGGAAGTGCTGCGCTATTTGTGCCAAATTCTACCATGAATGAAAGTCTGCTACATCTTGCACTGAAATGCCATTTTCACTCAGAATTGTGCCACACCTGCACCAAGATAGGCTTATTAAAGCAAAATATAAAAGTATTTCATTATTGGTTGACTCTAGTGTTCAGAGAAGTAGAAGGAAAGAAAAGTGGTGCAAATATCTATTTCACCGTCTCTACTCATCATATAGTTTGTTTCACCTTAGGCCAGAGCATAGTCGAAGGATCAGACGCTTACAACCTCGAATACAGATACTAAAAGTACCAATCAATAGGCATTCACTACACATTGATTAGTTTAGCTGATGAAAGAACACGTACAGGGAGATGAAGAATGCCATGATGTCGTGCTTTGATGCTACTTGATTGGTTCCATTGACTCGCATAGTTGTAGCGTCGACTTCAGGTGAAACGAAGTATGGAAATTGCTCGTCAATCGCTCTGGCCGGCTGTTGCGCTGGCCAGTTGATCAGTGACATCGTCTAAATTTCCAGACAATGTCTGCGATGTCAGGAATTAAAAGTTGCAAGATAACTTGGCAAAATAGTGGGACGGTGGCTACTGGGATAAGGCACAACCGAGGTCGTGCACTCGAGATGTGATTACTTGATTATCATGCTTGCCACGTGCCTTCATGCCGTGGCTGCAAAGCACAGTGTCACCTGCGCTGTTTGCGTCAACCTTCACCACATCGCACCAGCGTGCACGCGTCGAGCTTCACCACTTCGCACCGGAGCGCTTGGAGCAAGGGCTGACCTGGGGGAGGTTTAGCACGATAGGCAGGGAATTTATGCTCAGGATTATTACAGGTCGACCTTCTTAGTCTGGATCGCAAATTAATCTCTAATTAAAAGAACAAACAAAAATGCTGAGTTGAGACAGAGAAAAAGAAAAAAAAACACGGGCCTTTGTATTTGAATAAATATGGCAGTCACTATAGTTTCCGTGCAGCTATTGATCGAAAGAGCAGCAAACTTTGACTTCACTCTTTTTCCAACGCTGCTAAAGGGGTGTGTCACATCTAAAGTGCAAGTGTAGGCTTTCATAATATTTGCGGGTTGTTATTTTTGCAGTTTATGATATTAGAGTCATGAGTTTGGAAAGTTCATAAAACTTGGGGGTGCGTTTCTATTGATAGACATGTAGCTGATGTGCTGGTTCTTGCTGGCATTTTACAAAAATGATATTTGCAGGCTAAATAAACTACTGAGTAAAATGTGGAGGGGAGAGAGGCTTTTTCCCAACTGAATTGTTGCGCTATAATTTGCTTTTCAATAATTTTTTTAGTTCCCGTTGTAAATGGAACTTACTTTGACCAGAGCCTTATTTTTAAAAAGAAAGCGGCATGTTCTTTGTGCATCTTAACTATTTTTATCACAAAAACTAATAAGTAATATGCTCCAGTATCAAAGAGGAACCATCAGTCATTATCATTGATGAACTCACTTAGAGATGCAATCACTTTTTTGATTTTCAAGTGATATGCACTAACAGATGTTGGCATCTCCACCAAAAGCGTCAGCAGCTGCTCCAAACCAATAATTTGCCTGCTACAGATTGTGCAACAAAAGGTCAAAGGCCACTTCCATCACTGAAGTCGTTTTGTAAACACCTTGCAGCCTCAAGACGTGTGAGACATCTTCACCTTGGCAAGACACATTGCCCTAGAAGTCATTGTTTTGTAGAAAAAGCAGAGGCTACATTAGTTGACTCACATTTTTAATGGTTTAAGTAAAGCATGGCTGCACCTTCAAATAAATACAACTTTGACCACACTGTTGCTCACGTGTTGGACAAAACAGCGTCTGTCAGTGTTGGTTGCTTCATTGTTTGCTGACATAGGGAGATCGCAGTGCCGCTGCAGTTTTTAGGCATCTTGTAGCTGTGTTCTAGCCGTTTTGCAGCATAGCTAATGTACCGTCTTGTAGCCATTTTTGTAGGATGGAAGATGTCTTGTTGACATGGCAAGACATGACCCTAAGAGCCCCTAAACATCTTGCAGCTATCTTGTAACGCAGCTAAAGCAACGGCCATCATTTTTGTGCCACCACTTGAAAGATGTCTTGTAAACATCTCATAGCACCACTAACTGTATTAAATTTGCCATTTGAAGTCTCAACTAGAAACCTAAAATGTCCCCGTGACAGTGCCTAGGCCTCTTTAAATATTTTGTGACTGTCTTCCAGCTGTCCTGTAGTGCAGCTTAAGTGCTGTCATCCATGTGCCACCATACGTTTTGAAAGATGTCTTGTGGCACAAGAATGACAGCTCATCTTACTAAAACAAAAGTTATTTTGGTCATGCAGATGTGCAAAATGCCCTGCAGACACCTCTGCAAGACGTATATTACAGCCCTGGTACCTCTTGGAGCTGTCTTCTAGCTCAGCTAATACATCATCATCTTTGTGCCACGAGACAGCTTGAAAGATGTCCTGTAGGCACCTGGACTCTTTGAATATTTTGTTGCTATTTTGGTAGGATCTGCAAGACGTCGTCTAGACACCTTGGCAAGACATAGGTAGAGATCTAGTATGTCTTTTAGCCTTCCTCTAGCTGTCCTCTAACTCATCTAATGCGCCATCACCTTTGGCCCACAAGATGTTTTGAAAGAAGTCCCGTAGAGTCTCAAAGCACCACTAGCCATCTCACACCTGTCATTTGAAGTCTCGGCAAGAGATCTAGGACGTCCCCATAACAATGCCTAGGAATGTTTTGTGGCTGTCTTCTAGATGTCTGATAGCGCAGCTGATGCACCTTCCTCTTTGCGCCACAGGACGTCTTGAAAGGTGTCTCGTAGACGTCTCGAAGCACCGCTAGCCGTCTGAAATCGGCTGTTCTAAGTCTACAGTGAGAGGTCCAAGACCTCCCCATAATAATGCTAAGCTGACACGTGACCTGGTCGCATGACCCATGATACGCAGCGTTGGAGGGAGGTCCAGGCGGGGAGGATGTCGCAGACGGTGCTGCGGGGCTTCCCGGGCCTCCCGTGCGAGGTGCGCCTCGAGTTCCAGCTGCCGCTGCCCCGCAACCTGGCGTGCGCCCTGTGCCGAGCCGTCTGCCCCGTCATCTATCGCGCCGTCTGCTGCCACGCCTTCTGCGAGCGCTGCAAGGAAGAGCTCATGCGCAGCCGCAGCGTGCTGCTCTGCCCCGTCGACGGCAACGAGACCTGGACCGACAAGGTGCGGCTAGGGTTCAGCTTGGTGCACTAAAGCTTTCGTTGCTGCTGCTCCACCAAACCCCCAATCATCATCATCAAAATATCGCTACGGCCCCTGGGTGCAGAAAAGTAGCAACATCCTTTGATGTCGCTGTCCTGGGATGATCTTGATGGCGGGCGAGTGCGGGAGAGCAAGAAATTGCCATAAAAGAGTGTGTGCAGTGGTGAAAAAGAAGAGAGGGTTTAGGGTTGTTGGCCTCTAGCCTTTGGTGTGCCTTCAGAGCTCAGCAGAGGCTATTAGCCGACAACCCCTGTCAAAAGACGCCAGAAGCACGACGTCACAGCTCTCGGCATCTTTCTTTGGGCATGTTCTTCATGGCAAATCCAATCAGATCCAGAAAGTGCACCGTGACAGTGCACTTTTAGTCTGGGCGTATGCGTTTGCATGTCTTTTTGCCTTTGACTGTGCTCCGACTTGCAATGCAATCAAGCGTAGGAATGGCGCCTTCTGTTCTGGGACAATCATGATGGCGGCAACTGCAGGAGAGTGAAAAACAAAGAAGAAAGTGTGCATGCTGGAGGAGATAGAAGGTGTTGCTATCTTTATTATTTGGGTGCTTTAGGTGGGGCGACCTCACAGTCCCCCAACAGCAATGAAAAAGAGGAATGCCATCAAATACCGAGCAAAGACCCATGCAAAAATATATAACTACAAAAAAATGGGGGCGAGTGCCTGTTAGGTCCAAGTGCAGACAAGCAGGAGGGCCACATGGTAGGACAGGCCCTTGTTTGATCTGACGGAGCATGGTCAGTACAGGGTTCTGGTGCAACCTTTCATTTTTAAAGCAGCTACACCTCTCTCGTCAACCCGGCTTTGTGCCTGCACTCCCATGTCAAGCTTTACCACTTTACACTGGTGCACATGCAGAAAGCTTCACCGCTTTGCACCGTCTTCTCGGAGAGGCAGTGAACGAGCACCTCGTTGAGCTTTTTCGGCTTGGAAGTTGTGTTGTGCTGGGGTGGGCACTCAATATATTTGGATTGTTTCAAAAGTAGAGGGGAAAGGGGGGGCATACGCTCAGTATTTTACGACATGCGGCTGGTACTTCTATACACACTGAACCAAATTGTGGAAAATCGGTGCCCAGCAACTGCCTGTCTCCTGGGCCAGAGTAGGTTCTCATGCACTGGGGAACCAAGGTTTGCATCACACACAGAGTAGTATAGTCAGGATGGATCAACCATAACCCTAGCAGTGGTTCTTAAATAGGGTTCCGCAATCACGCTGAGGTTCGCAAAGCCATCTTGAGGTCCACAAAGCCCTTGGCTTAGCACCCCCCCTCCATCTCTTGGAAAAAAAAAAAAAGTTGTTGACTTTGGTTAGGTGGTGCAAGGCTACTGCCTGTTATAAATGTTATAAAGGGTACAGCCATCATCATCTAGTCATGTCAATCCTTTCGATTGATGTTTCTCACTTGTCCTGTCTATAACAGTAAAAGATGCTCTTTTCACACTACAATGAGTTGTCTCATTTTATGGGCCCCCTTCCCCTGCTGGCATGGGGTCCCCCATCACTTTAAAGGGTCCCCAGGGGGTCCTCGACACATCCATGCTTGAGAACTATTGCCCCAGTTCATCAAATGGTTCATCCTATCTGGACAACATTCCTGTGACTCAGGCTGAATAATAATAGCAGACAAACCATGACTGGTGCTCCGTGTTTTCTATCTATATCGATAAACACTGGAAATTAACCCTCGAGTCGGTTGGTCAGAATCAGGGAAAACCAAAAAACCCTGAAATGAAGCTGTTCCTGAATCAGGAGAACCCAAGCTTCCCTGGGAGGAATCTCTATCTTCAGTTTTGTTTAACACGGACCCGCACTGAATTGTCTGCGAGGCGGCTTTTTTCGTCGGGAACCCCTCGTTTACATTTGTTTTCGGTACCGGGACGATTTCCCGAGTTTTTGGGTCACACCCGTGTTCCTCGGAGGTTGGGCAATGCCAGGCTCGTGTCCTGCTTTCTTCCACGTAAACAGCAAACTGTTGTCCGACACCGAAAACACAAATCGAAAAAGACTGAACCTGTTGAAGACAATGAGCCCCAAAAGGGCACCCTTTAATTCTAAGAAAAATAAAACCCGGAAACGCCAAATCTCAACCGTGGCGTATTGGTGTGCGGTGTAAATTATGGCCATACGAGCTCATCGAGAAGTTGGATTACAATAATTGTGAGCATGCTCCTGAAATGAATTAAGGACTGATTCTTTCTAGCTACATGAGAATACATATTTAAAGGGTCTGCACTCTCTTATGAGTTTTTGTCAGTTTTCGTCTAGAAGATTGACTTAATGATTTAGCTGTTGGCTCAGATAGAGTGGGCCACAAAGGTTTAAGGGGGGAAGGTCTTACTGCATTAAAGTGCTGCAATGCAGTTGAAGTATTCCGGAATATTTTCCAGCATACCATAAAATCCCATAAGGGCACCCCCCGAAATGAAGAGATAAATGGTGAAAAACCCGGGGTGGGCGATCTTTGAAGATGAGTCAGCGAAGCTTTATCAAAAATGACCGCATCTCCACATGGTGAATGATGTTGATTGGGGCGAAGCTCTGGTGGTGCTGATGAGACTGATTTTGTTCATAGGTAGCCCTCTCCTGTATAGACGTTGAGCGGCTACATGCAACGTTTCATCCATGACATCCCCAGCTCTTGAGTTACTACCACATCTCAGAGCCCCCTACTCGTCCCGCAGTCGTGGCCGAGTGGTCAAGGCAATGCACTAGAAATCCATTGGGGTCTCCCCGCACAGGTTCAAATCGTGTCGACTTCGCAAAAATTTTTTCTTTTTTTAAGAAGACAGATGGAATGGCAATCGATGTGAGCACGGATGCCGGACGGACAAAGCTAGACCCTAAGGAGCTTCGCCCCTAAAATTAATGATAAACACAGGGGCACCCGCTACAAACCACGTGACACGGGAACTTATACCACAGATCGCGGATAGAGCAAATTTGCTTTTCAGAACATGATAAACTCACGGGAAAGGATTCCGCATGCTGCGGATCTAACAGAAACACGTGGAAACCGGCCACAAACTCTCGGGCCATGGGAACCGATATTGCGCGCGTGAATCGCAGACAAAAAGATGTGGAAGCTCGCTAGGAACTCGCTTATCACACGTACCAGCTTGATGGAATACCCGTCGGACATTGCATAATGCCCAACGGGAATCGGGGGGTGGGCGATGTTTCGGAATCTTTATGTCACGGATATTTAGCCAGAGAAGCAAGATGGGCGGTCTCTCGGGGGAAGGTGCCCTTACAGGATTTTACGGTAGTTGTATTGTGGCCTTTTGACCCCTTGCCTACTAATCACGAGTGCCACTCGTTGCACCCTTTATGGACCATAAAGCACGAGTTTTACTCGGGTTTTGGTTTCAGTGCTTGTTTAGCACGCTCTCCGGCAGATGGCAGCACCACCCTTGTTGCCTTGCCTTGGGTTGTTTGCTTATTTGTGTTGCTGTTTGACGCAGAAAGAGCGCTCCATTGAGCCAGGAAAAAAGAAGTTCATGTTAGGTAAGCGTTTGCATCAAAACAACGTGGCTTCTGCGCAGAGGTCCACTTTAGCCGACGAGAAGATCCAAAAACTTGTTTTTGAAAGTGATGAATGGTCAGGCATATCTGACAACAAACTTTGCAGCCTTTCTGATTACAGTCAAACCTCGATGTAACAAAGTCGGTAAAATTCAGAATTAACTTCGTTACATTGATAGTTCGCTACAGAGAAATTCGAGGCTAACGTTAAAGAAAGTTTCCATAAATGTTTCTCGGGTGAACAAAGCTCACCGAGGATGCCTCTATTTCGGTTGAAAGTAGTCCATCACCTTTTTCTGAGCCACTCTTGGCATTACCGTAGTTATTCGAATATAAGGCGAGGTTTTTTTTCCAAAATCCGTAGTCTCAAAATCATACCCCGCCTTATTTTCAAAGCTCAGTATAGCAATATGATGATATTTTTTTCTTTTTCTTGAGTCCATCAACTGCCCCCTCGCCTTATAATCGTGACCGCCTTATATTCGAATAAATACGGTATTATTGGCATCACACGACGTTTGCATAGCCAGACGGCCTGCATTGCGTCTCCGTTTTGCTGCGGGATCCCGAACCGCCTCAAGACAATTATCGCGACCACCACTTCACGGTTACTGGGCACATCGCAGGTGTCTTGCTCATCGGCCTCGATGTCGTCCCAGTCTTGTGAGTTCCTACGAACATCACTAGCTGTCGCCTTGTCGGTCACCTCCTCCGTCGCAATGACAGCAGAGTCGGCGTACAGAAAGTCTTCGTAATCGACATTGTCAGGGGCGGCTCCATCGCCTTCGAGGCTCCATCGCCCAGGACGAGAAACACACGCTTTTAGTTAGACCTCGAAACGAACTACTCAGCGCGAACGAAGCCGACGGACGAAACGGCGGTGGCTCTCGTGTCCTCTAGTATCCGTTCTGTACACCACACTCGCCAGATTCGGTTCGTTTCACCCTTTGCGCTTTATCGGGGGCCCGTTTCAGCGCATGTGCTTTTCAAAACCTCCTTTGGGACCCAAAAGTTTGTGACAAATTGTCCATGAAATTGCGTTATATCGAAATTTTGGCAAACGGGAGTTACATAGAGGTAAAAAATACAAGGTGTGCATACGCTTGCGGTTAGAAAAAGTTGTGTACTTCGTTACATCGAGGGTTTCGTTACATAGAAGTTTGTTACATCGAGGTTTGACTGTATTCGGAATCAGATGATAGTTCGATGGACAGTAATGGGAGTGATGAAAACAGTGCAAATCGTTTTCATAACTGCCATCAAGGTGGCTCTCCACCTTCTTGAATGTTTTCAGCGCTATCACACTGTGAAGACCTACTGAAGAGGACTATGAGATCAGAAGTCCTTATTTAGAGAAAGTTACCACACCTGAAAATCAAGGAAATGCTCTTGCTTTATTTTGATGCGATTTGCCTCTTTAAAATGAAGTTTTGTTGTACGTTCCTTGAAAAAATATAAGTAGACAAGGGGTTAAAATCTGCAAAAAAGGTTTTCGAATGGTGCAGGTGTATTCATGCCTTTCTTTTTCTCTTTTCTGCAGATTGTGCCGGACGATACTGTGTGGAATTCGCTGAAGGATTTCACGGTGCTGTGCTCACAAAGCATTCACGGTTGTAGGTTCAGCGACACTGTGGCAGCTCTGAAGGCAAGCTCAGCTTCGTCAAAGTGCCCGCCGGTCAATGGGGGGGGGGCATTTGTACTTCCCATTCAAATGTCTCTTGCGAGCGAAATGCGGATGCTAAGCGTTATTCCAGCCTTTTTTTTTTGTCTTTTTGATTATAATTTGGATGTTTATGTTGTCTAATAAGTCCAAAGTCACATTAAAACGTGATTCTTGAAAAAATGATGCGGGAAAACATAAAATCTTAAGTACCAAGTAGTTCCTTGCCCGGCACTTTTCAACGAAAGAAATCCCCAATTTAACTGAAAGGCAGCGGTTCCTCCAATTTGTTGTTTCCAATGGTAATTATTGTCTTATAATGAAATATCCGTATCAAAATGTACTTTTATTTATTAGGCTTTTCGGAACAATGCAGCAGCTTTGGAATGCGGTTCAGTCACTTCTATGTAAAAGAATACCAAGTTTTTCTCCTCGATTGATTCATCGGAACACTGAAAGCGTCTGAAAGCCAGGGGAAGATGGCATAAATGGACGAAACTTTGACAAACATGTGGTTCACATGCTCGCACATGACCGTGGCTGACTGATTAGCAAAATAATTACCTCGAGTCCACTAATTAATTTCTGAAAATTCGGCCTAGTTGGCACATTCCAGCTAGACATTTGTTGCCCGTCGTCAAAATGCTGTGCCGAAGCTGTTGTGAGAATTCAGACATCTAAATTCTGTTTCACCCTATTCTCTGGCAAATTTATGCCGTAAGTAGTCCGATATACCGAAACCAACACGCGAAAGAATGATGGAAGCGTACAGTTTACATACTAGTATCTCTTAGATAGTACGTAAATTGGCCCCACCCCTTAAACGGCGCCAGCGTGATCTCTTGTTGTAGGACAGCACAAGAACTCGGTCGTAAGCAAATAACCTGTGTTAAGAGTCTCGTGGTCAAAGCAAAGTGCGCTCACTACAATCTGTACTCGGGCGCGCAGCTTTCAGTGCTTCTTCCACTTAGCTTCGATATGGCGGACTCTAAACAGCCTAACTGCATTACTGAATAGTGTAAGAATTTAGCTTGCGGGCTTTGAAGAACTACTATAGCATATTTTGAGGACGGGCGACTAACTGTGATTGGAGTGTGCCAGAAAGAGTGAATGTTTAAGAAGTTAATTAGAGGATTTTAGGTAGTTACATTGCTAATGATCGCTTTTCCTCCTTACACTGACGTCTGCTGTGGTCCACGGCATTACCTCAAAAAATTGTTTCTTTATTTCCCGAATCTTTTTAGAGCGCAGCTCTTAGGCGCCCGTTTCCGGCTTGAGCGGCGTCGCCGTTGGCGTAACCAAGGTCACCTTAAGGTCACGTGACCCCCAGGTTACCTTAAGGTAACGTGACCCCTTCCGAGGTTGCCTCAAGGTCACGTGACCCCCAAGGTGACCCCCACGTGACCCCCCGAGGTCACGTGGCCCCCTCGCCGAGGTCACGTGACCCCCTTCCCCCGAAGTCACGTGACACCTCCCCCGAGGTCACGTGACCTGCTCCCCCCAAGGTCAGGTGACCCCCCGGAGCATATTAAAGAATGAGGGGAGGAGGAGGAGGAAGGGTCTACCCTCCCCCCAGAACCCTTTCCTCCTCCTCCTCAAGAGCTGTGCTCCAATTCGGCGTTACAGGGAGTTGTAAACGGCTTTCACTTTTTTTATTTATTTCTAGATTATTCTCAGTCATTTGCGAAATGCCCCGTGTTATAACTAGCAGAAGCTAGGGAACCACAGAAATCACATTTCCAAAAATGCTCTGCACTTGGAAGGGAACAAAGAAGAAAAAGTATCCGTCTTGATAAGGTTGGTGCTTGAGGTCCAGTTGTTGATGCCAAGTGAAATTGGGAGAAATCTGTGTTTATCTGGGGCTCTCAACGGTCATTTCCTCGAAGCAGTCTTTAACCGTGAAAATATTTTAAGTACGAGGGTAACAAGGGGAGCCTAAATTTTGCTTTCTCATTCTCGTGACACACGCCTTTCTGAGATGCCTGGGTTGCTTGAGCTGCGAGTGCACGACTGTCTTTGCAGCGGAGGCTGGTTCACACACCTGCGTTTGACCGTGACCGATTTTGTTGAGATGTCTCGTAACCACCTAAGACGTTGGTACACTGTCTATCGGGTAGACCTGGAATGCTCCCAGCCCATGTATTATCAACTAGACTGCTTCCGACTCTGAAGACGCCACCCAGCGTCGGCAAACCTTCTATGGAACTGCAAGCATCTCAAAAAGGAAAGGGACAAAACTCTCAAAACTCTAGACTCTCCAAGACAGGCCGAAAGATACGCGAGCGTAAATAAATGCCTACGGGTGATTTCGAAAGAAGTCTCCAAATGCTGAGATTCGTGGTCCCCTGTCAAGGTGCGGGTTGGATGCGTTTCAGCTCTATCCGACAGATGGCACCACTTTGCCAGCGTGTTAAGTGGTTACGAGAGATCAGAACGCGCTCGATCGCAGTAAAAACGCAAACGTGTGAGCCAGCCTAGACAGTTACCAGGCCGCCTACCGCCGAGGCACGCCGCGACTTGCCTGCCGTCTCCTCCCCCCCGGCAGAACCACATCCGGGACTGCCCGTACATGAAGAAGCTGTGTCCCCTGTGTGAGGAAGAGGTGCTCTCCAAGGATCTGTTCAGCCACCTGGGCAGCGTCTGTGCCAAGAGGCCCCTGGCCTGCGAGCACTGCGGACTCAACTTCCACAAGGAACTGCTCAACGTGAGTGCGGCGCTCGGCAATCTGTCAACTCGGGTTTCCGTACGACGCTGTTGACAGAAAGGTGCGGTCGAGCCTCGGCCGTTAGCCGTTATGTAATGCAGAGGTCCTCAAACTTTTTAATTTTCGAATTATACGAGCCGAGGGACCCCTCTCAAAAGTGATGCAGCAGAGCAGTACGGCAGTATGTTGGGCCTCTCTGGCAAATTTAATATTAGCCTTGGAAAAGTATCACTTTTTAATCCACTGAATTGCTCAGGATCACTCACACCAGGTCAGTTGAGCAACGCAAATTGAAACACAGGATTTTCAAATGTTAATTTTTTTTTTTTTTTCTTGAGCAATACACAATTTGCATTTTCTTGAAAAGGATGTATCGTATTTACTCGAGTAAAAGCCGCACTATTTATGAACAAGGTGCATGTGTTTACTCTCCCGCAAAGCAGATATAGAGCCAATCATCGCGTTGCACATAAGTAACATAGCGAATGATTAGATCAAGAACACGAGTCTGCATACAAATGCAACCTTGTCAGATGGTATCTTCGCGCGAAGACGTTATCTCTGTCCTGTGAACCGCTGGAATCATGCCGTCGATCGCGGTGATTGGCAATCCGCGTGCTCGGCGGTAAAGCGAACCCTCAGGTTTTCTTCATAAACAGTGCGGCTATTACTCGAGTAAATACGGTAGTATTTCTTGAATTAAAAAAATTGACTGCTGCACTTAACTGCATATTCTCTAGACCGCTTTTTGTGTGATCATGTTTTTTTTTCTCACTCTTGGAACATTGTAAACCACTCATTCATGGCTTTCAGTGGAGAGCTGCAGTATCATTAAATAAATAAAGTAACCACTGTTTTTTTTTTCCACTGCAGGATCACAGGACACACTGCCCAGAGAGGGTGGTCGGGTGTGAGTTCTGTGGCACCGATGGCATCTTGCTGGGGGAGGTAGGGAGCTCCCACACTCTGCTCGAGGACCCTGCAGCTTGTCACATTTGGGGGGGGGGGGGGGATCATAATTTTGAGAAGGAGAGGGTCCCTAGAACTGCCTATGTATTCTACTTTAAGCATATTTGTCACTTGCCTGATTATTATAACTTCTTCACATTTGAAAAGTCGGAAGGGCAACCCGTCTCTTTCTACTTGGGCCGCCTTCTCCAATCTTTTCTTTTTGGGAAATCGTCCCCTTCCGCTTTGGGGGCGGTGCCACGCCAGACACGCATGCAAAATCTGGGTTAGCTTCTGTTAGCATGTAACTCTGCATTTAAACGAAGTTGAAATTCCATGCCCCAGTTACGTGCACGTTTACGAGGTAACTACTAAACCCTGTTTCTTAAAAAAAAAAAAAAAAAAAAAAGACAATGCGTTACCACAAACCAGGTGCCATTCTACAAAATATTGTCGTCTCAGGACAGCAACTTTCAAAGGTAGAGCACAACAGTACCATGGTTCAAATGAGTTACAGTCGCCAACCGTTTTTTCAGACTTCGATAATTCGGACTTGTTCTATATTTCGGACCTAAAGGCGGAACCCCATAGAAATAGTGTATATTCGCGACCAATGTTTTGGACAGCTTAAAGTCGGAAAGTTCGATTATTCGGACAAAATCGTCGCGAGCGATCAGCGGAAAACACCATTGAGAAGCGGCCATTTTGAATTCTATGTAGTCTGCCAATGGATTGGCTTGGTTTGGCAGCGCTACTTGAGCACTTCCGAGTCCTACCGCTAGGTGACGCTATGCTAGCCCTTTTTTTCCCATTTAGCTGCACGTCATCATCATCATCATCATTATTATCATTTTGCTTTGTTTTTCATTCCTTGGCGTCGCCAGTCGCCATTTTGCGCTCGTGGATTTGCGCCTCTGATCTCATTCGGACAACGCTGGCTTGGGCGTCATGGCCCCATCTATTCTTCTGCTACTCGACCATAACGCTAGGAAAGAAGGCAGCGATTCTTAAGCTAACAGAAAGCTGTCGAACGGAAGCGGAGGCGTAACCTAAAACAAGGCACTGTTTACGGCTTTTTTAAGCCCACTTGGAAGTAATAAAGGCAAGTTTTTCAATCTGCTGATTTTTCTAACTGCTCTATTATTCGGACGTTTTTTCGGTCCCTGCGAAGTCCGAATAATCGGTCGGCGACTGTATATGTGACCCCTGGGTACTCCATCGGTATTCTTAAGATATTTTCGTGACGCAAATTTTGCAGATGCCAACAACATTATAGGAAGGCAGTGATGGAAGTGCTGTGTTATTTGTGCCAAATTGCACCATGAACGAAAGTCTGCTACATCTTGCACCTTTTCGCTCAAAATTGCGCCACACTTGCACCAAGAAAGGCTTATTAAAGTAAAAAACAAAAGTATTAAATGATTGGTCGACCCTAATAATCAGAGAAGTCGAAGGAAAGAAAAATGGTACGAATATCTATTTCACTGTCTCTATACTCATCATATTGTTTGTTTTACTTGGGTCAAAGCACAGTCGAAGGCTCGAATGCTTACAACCTCAAATACACATACTAAAAGTGGAAGTCACGGGGCATTTTCTGCACTTAATTGGTTTAGCTGATGAAAGAACACATCGAGCATCTCAGGTATGTCCTGAGATGCTCGATGTGGTCCTGGGATGCTTTATGTGTTTTGCTCATTCTCTGAAGGTTTGAGGTTCACTCATGAGAAGCCTGTAGAAGGGACACTGCAGTTCCCAGACCTAAAACTATGCTTTCTGGAGGGCCGCATTATGTTGGGCGTACGAGCCAGGATCAGAGAAAGGCATCCTGCCGTTCCATTCTGCTCACTCATGAATAGTCGAAAGGGGCATTGTTAACACAAGTCTGGGGGCGTTTTTAAAAAAATCTTGCGAACATTGTGTCCAAAACAGTTTTAATTTACAGATTTCATGCCTACAAAAGGCAGGTCTCCTATAAAGCTGCCTGGCTGAAGTAGCAGAAGGATTGTTAAAGAAACTGAAAGGGGCAAACCAACAGGCAAAAGAAAAGCCTAAAATGAGACCGGCATTTGTTCCTTACATGCGTGCCATGTCCCATAATTTAAGGAAAGTTGCACAGCATTTTAAAGTTCCTGTGGTATTCTCGGCCCCCGATGAAATGGTATGTCTGTGCTGCAGAACCAATTGTCCGCAGCCACCTAAAGAGCACAGAACCGCAATTACACAGAACCGCAAGCCAGCAGAACCGCTGACTTGCAGCTCCGTGTACATTGGTTAGACGGGTAGGTGTGTCAAGGGCCGCGCGCACAAACATGCGGCAGCCATGAAAGCAAACCCTTCCGGTAATCTCGCCATCCATTGTAGTCGTTGCCCAAGCTCACCAGTTCTGCATGATGTTAAGATTCTAGCGAAATACAAAGGAAATGTGTGCCGAGAAGTTTAGAGGGAATTCGAGATTAGGGCAAAAGGAAATGAATGCATCTGCGAAGCCTCCTTTGCCCTTTCAGGGAAGGAGTTGGATTTTATAAAAGGGTTTCATTGATTGTCGCGAGGATTAAGCACTCTACAACTGCTTATATTTTCCACTCTTCGTTGTCCCTGTCGTTTTTGTTGCTTTTGTATATTTGAATATGAACCAACTGGCCCAGCTTTCCACTTTCCTGCTGGTTCTTGCTTTCATTTTCCAGAAATGATATTTATAGGCTAGTTAAACTACAGAATGTAAAATGGGAAATGGGAGAGAGAGGCTTCATTCCAAGTGAAGGTTCTGGGCTAATTTATTTTTCAACCATTTTTTGTACCTATTGTAAATGGACCCTACTCTGACCATAGCCATATTTCTAAAAAGAAGGCTATGTGTTCCCTTTGTGTCCTATGTATTTTTATCACAAATAGCAATAAGTAATACATTCCAGCATCAAAGAGGAACTGTCAGTCATTATCATATAGATGAACTCATTTAGAGGTGCATCAACTTCTTTTATTTTCAAGTGATGTGCTAACAGATGTTGGCATCTGCTCCAAAAGCTTTAGTGGCTGCTCCAAACCAATATTTTGCCTACTACAGAACCTGCTACAAAGGGCCAAATGCCGCTTCCATCGTTGGTAATGCTCACCAAATGTTTCTAATAGATTACACTTGTATAACTGTATACCGTAGCGCGATTTCTGGAAGAGGGGTGTTTGAACAGTGGTCCCGCTTCTTGCTCGACCCCCACCTTTGGGTCCGTGTTGCGTTGTTTTCATTTACATTTGAGCTCTTTTCACGGGTCAGCAATTCTGAAGGATGCGTTCATTATGCAAGTTACCGTATTTGCACGAATATAACGCGACCACGAATATAAAGCGAGGGCAGGTTTTGATGCCCTCAAAAAGAAAAAAAAATATTATATAACTATTATAACACAAACTGAGGCCTCGTCAATTTCTCACACTCAGGGGCATAGCAGATGTGAAAAGTCAATGGAAATAGAAGAAATATCAGTTTATGTTTTGACTGCATTCATCCTCACTGCTCAGGCCCTTCCGTTTACAATCCACTTGGCGAATACGCAGATAAGCAGCAGCACAGCACCTGCTTGTCTGGTAGTTCCTTTTTCTTCTGTGCGTGCGCAGCCCACAATCCAAGCAAGGCACGAAGCAGAATCACCAACACACAAACACCAGATCACTTTGGAGCGGAAGCTAAACAATGCGCAGGCAGAAAAAAAGACTGCTGAATCAACACCACCTAGACAGAAGGCCTCCGCATGGTTTCTTCTTCCTCTATGAAACGTCATCGCAGTTGGATCGCACTCGGTCGGCTATTGGACCCGAGCCCGACCTTCGACGCGCTGATTGGCCACGAGCCGCAGCCGAACACTGACGCAGCACTCGTGCCCAATCTCTCGCCTCGATCGATCTGACTATGATGACGCGTTTGGAGGCCTTCTGTCCAGGTGGTGTTGGCTGAATCCGATACACGATCACACTTCTTGTTCTGGTCCCTCTGCATAAACAAATGCCTCGTGTTGCACGATTGCGTAAACGCAGTTGGTGGTCTTGGCCAGTCTTAGCTTGGCTTGTGTTGACTTGACTTGGCCCGGCTTGGCTTGGCTCGAATTGGCCAGTGCCCGCATTCCCGCATGGCTCGCGCGCGCGCTGAGTTTCTGCGGCGTGCCCGCGTTGTACAAACACAAAAGCGATAAAAATGTTTTTTTATGTTTTCTATTCGCCCCTTCACGTGGCCCAATAGCTAATAAATTCCCTTTCACACCCCCACTGCTTTTCCCGCGGGATATTTTGCATTGAGCCGGAGGGATGGCTTTCTCCTCTGGCTTTCTCCAGACTCTCGCGCCTCGTGGTTGAACTCGATTCCGAATATAACGCGAGGTGCGTTTTGGAGCACGTAATTTCGAAAAAAAACAAAAAAACTCGCGTTATATTCGTGCAAATACGGTAATGTACTATAATCATTACCCGACTGCCCGTTTGTGATCGTCAGTCCTGACCTTGCTGCGAAGTGAGCGGATGAATTGCCGCGCAGTGATTAACTTGTGTTCTGGCTTTGTTTCAGTTGGCTTTGCATTACGACGAGTGTGAACTGAAGCCCTGGTGTTGTACGATGAAGGACTACGGATGCACATTTGAGGTATGTAGACAAAAATACGAGCGTGTGTTTTGGGCACAGTGTCCAGAACAATTCTTCCGACGTGCACATCAGTCTGAAAAGTCGGCACATGGATTTAATTTAATTTTTTTTTCCTCTCGGGGCCCAAAGGCATTACAGAGAGGAGTGGGCACTGTTACATAAACATTAAAAAAAAAAAAAAAATACACAAAATAAAAAAAATTAAAAAATTACTGCGAAACATTATTTTAACAAATTAGTTGTTGCAATTCTAAAATCAGCGCTGTTAGTAATTGAAACAACGACTGTGGGAAGGCAATACCAATCGATTGAGGTGGGGGGTAAGAAGGAGGCGCGAAAAGTAGGGGTGTGCAAATACTCGAATATGCGAATGCAGATCGGATAGTAGGTTCCCAAATATTTCAATTCGCGAATCAAATGCTTAGTATTCAATCACTCGAATATTCAATATATTCAGGGAAAGACGCGCAACCGGCGCAAAGCTGACAAAAAAGCCGTTTCTTTCTCCTAATGTTAGTGCGGTGATGTTAGACAGACCATGTAAGAAGCACTTTTGGTCCTACCACTCCACAAAGATCTAATGCACAGGCTAGAAAACAATAAATAAAAAGTAATGAATGCCATAAACCTTATAGCATGCAGATTTAATCACGATCGTGGTGCAATCTAATCTCGAATCGCAACCAAAACATGCTTCTAACTGTTTGATAGCCGCATTTGAAATACAAACTGCGAGAAGGTGACAAAAGGATGAATGCGTAGCTCGCGTGCAGGCGTCGTTGCTCTGTAGTTTGTTTCCCTTCTTTCCAAGCGACAACAGTATGCATGCGCACTTGCGACCAATCTGAGCAGGAGCCGTCTCCGTGGTTTCAGTTTCGCTCGCTTCCTTTTACAGCGGAGCTAGTTTCCCCAAGATCGTGCCCGGTACCAAACAAACGTTGACACAACACTCTGGTTGCCGCCATCGCTCATAACTGACGGTAGCTGTCCAGAGTGTTTTGTTTGCCGGTTGTCTGCTTGCCACCGTCGCTCATAGATCGCGGCAACCTTTCCAGCTTCGGCAACCAGACAACTGGTTGCTGCCGTTGCTCATAGATGGTGGCAACATTTCTTCGGAGGAAGAAGAGCAGGAACGGAACGAGCGGCAATTTGCGCAACAGCGCGAATGGTTCCACAATCGCATGTTGTGGAACTATCGCCTAAGTTTCCACTGCGTCAAGCGCTTCAGATTCCCTTGCAAAAGAAGAGCAGATTGCTCGCCTGGAAAGCCACCACCGAGAACAGAAGCTACAGCTCCGCCGCTCTTCCTTCTTCACCAGAGTAGAAAGGCTGAAAGTTTTTTTTAAATATAGGGTTTCCGAAACAGGATAGATGGACGGAGGAACGGATGCATGGCGACTGTTGGACGGTGACTTGCACCACCTCACCACATGTTTTTTTAATGTGGAAGCTTCAACTGGGGGGGGGGGGGGGGTCCCATGGAGCGAACCTGGCATTGTCTGTAACCGTCTGTAACAGTGAAATGGCAGTTAAATTCCCATTGTCCGAAAGCACAGCAACGCAGATGGTCCGTCACGGGAGCCGGCGAGGCCGCTCAAGATCAAAGCGGACGTGCCTCAGAAATAAAATAATATAAAATAAAACACAAGAAAAGCACAGTAGTGCAGATGCATCGTCATGGAAGCCGTGATGCCCACGGAGTTTGCCACGCCTGCGCAGTGGGGGAGCGTGATGTCACCACCAGAGCGCCATGTGAAAATGAAAGATGTGGCACGCTTGTTGTACGAATGCACTGCATGTAGGAATGCTTTTGCATTCCTACACAAAAGCAATCTTAAGTGTCCTCTTTAATATTTTTTTACTTCTTTTTTACTTTAGATTAAATATAGTTTATCAGATTTAACCCCCATTTGTTTATTTTTATCCAATAAAATTATGCGTGCTCTCTTTTGCCCTTGTAATTGGGACCGAACATTGCAGTATGCCCCTTCTTCGAGATATAGATATATAAAAAAAGAGGGCGTGTTGCGACGTTAGGTTGTGCTTTTAACTAGAGAAAAGAGCCACTTATGGCTGTAATTTTGGATTTTTTATGACGCTTAGGGTAGATAAATTATGTTTGCGTCATAAAAACTGGATCTCAAAATCCACTTTAGTGCCCCACATCCAACAGCTGCTACATCCACTTTAGTGCCCCACATCCAACAGCAAAGTAGATGTGCTGCAGTGGGGGACTCTAACTTTTAGTTGATGATTGGTTTGTAATGATATGCAATGTGTAATATGTAATATGCAAGGACTAGATTTTCTTGGGGATGTGCCTTGGTGGTTGGTTTTAAACAACCGATTTTGAAAGTTAACCCCTCTCTGTGAGGCATTACAGAAAGAAATCCTAGATTTTTAATGACCCGTGAATTTAAAAACTCTGGGAGTTTGTCCACGGTGGTGCCATGTAATGCTCATTTTAGAAACACAGTAAACCAAATCTCTTTTTACAGTGGAGCTGTTAAGGGCTAGGTTCCCCAGGATAGTGTCCGTGTATGTCAACACAAACCTACCTGGACAGCTACCGCCATCTATAAGCGACGGCGGCAAGCGCACAACCAGTATGGTTTCCGCCGTCGCTCGTAGATGGCGCCAACCTTTCCGGCTATAATACAAGAATGGATAGTTGGGTGCATTGGTGGGAATTCATCGTAGGAAACAGCACGAAAAACGGACGACGACGAAGAAGAAGCACGCAGTGTATCAAGTATAGCTCTGCTGATTTTCCTTCTTCACGAGAGTGGAAAGGCTGAACGTTTTTTTTTATTCTAAAGATTTAGCATCAGGAACGGATTTTATTTAATGCTCTTTCAAACATGAAGCAATTTTAGGCATGTGTAAATAGTCTATTTTGAGTTCAAAGCAAATTACTGCAGTTGAACCTCGATTTAACAAACCCGATTTTACAAATTTCCCGATTTAACGAACAAATTAGGATTCCACGCGCAGCCTATGTGCGAGGTCTCCCTTCCTCGATTTTACGAAGTTCCCGATTTAACGAAATAACTAGCGGTTCCCGGTGACTTCGTTAAATCGAGGTTCAACTGTAGTGGTTTTGGCCAAATATATTTAAAACCGTTTCTCCAAACCTTTTGTTACTGTTACGCCATGCTTAAACGGAAACCCACTTAAAGTCATGAAGGCTGTTCTCTAGCCTCCACTCGTCAATTTCTAAGTGTTTGGGCTCTGGCATCAGAATGTGCGGTGCCTAAAGTGGGATGGCAAATAAATATCTTATTTGACATACAATTAAACCTATGAGGTGTCCAGCTATGCCTAATTGAGGGGGTTTATAAACCTCCTTGCTATATGTAAATATCCTTTTTTCGATCAACTCGACCTTGAAAAAAAGAAAACAAAAAGGTAATTACTAATGATGAACTCAGGTTGTTAGGTCATCCCTGCCTAACATACTTTTGGATAATAGCCACATTTTAATTTTGAAAATTTCACTGCATGCATCAACATGCACAAAATTTATATTTCTTGGAAAATACATCAGGCACTTCTGTGTATCGTCCCACTTTAAAAGTATACATTTCTCCTATGCATGCGACTGCGATATTCATTCTTTTCTATATCTTGATCGCGGCGGGTTAGTCCCGTTGAGTGGGCTCCTTACCAAGCAGTGATGCACTGCGGCAAAGCAACACCTGTGGAGCTCTCTTTTGGGGGTGTTGCTTCTCTGCAGTGCATCGGTGCTCGGTAAGAAGTGCACTCAACAGGGCTAACTTGCTGCAATTAACACTTCAAAAAGTATAAGTATCGCAGGTCACCTTGAAGCGAATATCGAATAGTGTATGATTTGAAAATTTGAATATTGACACAACAATTCACAAAATAATTTATATTAGAGAGAGTGTGGATTGCCGGAACTTTGCAGTGACCAATAATTGGCAAGTATATGGTTATTTGGTCAGGCAAGTGTCGAGCCTCCATGGGCAAGCAATTATGACGCATGATAGAAGGTCAACAATGTTGGGCCAAGTAAAAAAAGCAAACCAATAAGTGCCGTACACCTCTCATATGTTTTACAATCTACTGTAAAATCCCGTAAGGACGCCCACCCAAAATGGAAAGGTAAATGGTAAAAAACATGGGGTGGGCTATCTTTGGGGATGCCAGAGTAAAAATTTATCAAATACTAATGATAAGCCCTGGGGCACCCGCTACAAAGCTTGTGACGCGGGAACTGATACCACAGATCACGGACACGGAAAGTTAGCGTTTCACGATGCAATAAACACACGGGAATTCGCTACAAACTCGCATGTCACAGAAACAAATACCGCAAATCGCGGACGCAACGGAATCGCATTACTCGCGCATGTTACAACTAAAAATCTATATCGCGCGTGCAGATTGCGGACAAAAACACGGGAGTCCGCTACGGACTCGGGAACGGATGCCCCAAATCGCGAACACAGCAGATTCGCATTTCAGGATGCAATACAGATGCGGGAACAACTCGCATGTTACGGGAGCCAATATTATGCACACAGATCGCCGACAAAAATGCGGGAACCCGCTATGAACTCGCTTTGCGGACACACCGGTACCGCAGATCGTGCCGTTGATGCGCGATTCCCGTCGGACATTGCATGACATCCAACGGGAATCAGGAGGTGGGCGATGTTTCGGAATTTTCATGTTAAAGGATATTTAGCCATAAAAATGAGATGGGCAATCTCTTGGGGGAGGGTGCCCTTACAGGATTTTACGGTAGGTGAAAGTCAGAAGCTGGAGTTATTGTACGACATCACAGTTTCGCTCGTGGTTGAAGCCGTGGCACGTGGTCTTCGTGATAATCAGCTCATTAATTTAAGACTTTCTACTTCGTATCATGAAGACCCATGGCATTGACTTTCTTGTGCTCTGTGATGGTTCTTGGCTGACAGTTCAAGGAAAGAAAAGAAATGGATATCCTGCGTACATGTAGGACTCATGACTCGTGCCACCAGTGGAAAATGAGTTTAATGAGTATGATACAGCTAGAAAACAAATGCAGGAGGTGTGACCATTCCCTGTGTTCTCAACTTTTACAGTAAATGTTACAGGGTATGACATGTTTCCCACAACCTTTTTCAGAAAAATCCCAGGGCTAAAAGTGCAACTTTCTATCCGCTAATCTGGGGCACGTGGCAAGGCAAGGGTTCTGTCAGCACATTTTTTGACTACTGTTAAAGTCTGTAAGGACGCTCTCCCTCGAGAGATCACCCATCCTGTTTTTCTGGTTAAATATCTTTAACGTAAAAATTATGAAATATCGCCCACCCCCCGATTCCCGTCGAACGTCACGCAATGTCAGGCAGGAATTGCATTAAGTGCGCGTTTTGCAGTGCAGATACGTCTGACAAGTGAGTTCATATTGTCACGCACGCTGCCGAGCGAGCACATGCGTGGCCGAGTGCTTACCCTGCTTGACTTTCATACGGAGACCTTGTGCGGAGCCTGCCTACCACCGTCGAAGGTTTCATCACTGTGGCCACAAACATTGAACGTGACCTTCAAGCACGGGCCTCCCACTTCTAGAAACTTCCCGCCCAAAACAAAATAGAAAAAGGCTAGCGTTGCAGGCGTCGATGGCGGCAAAACATTAAGATCGAACACTGGAGCGAGACTGACCTGGACGATGACTTCAACGACAACCCCAACTAGAACCTTGACGACGAACACGATGACGACACCTACCAGGAGTGTGATGTCTGCCACGAAGTCGAACAGGACGGCGATGCTCGGTTTGTCACTCAACGAATGGAGAAGTCTGCCAGCTTGGCTGAATTTTGATTCAAGCCGCACAACTTGCTGACGATGGCTGCTACAATCTTTGTCGCCACGACGCCCAGTTCCAGCCCGGCTACCAAGTGTGGATCTGAACACCAATTCATTGCCGCAGTGAGGAACTGTTAAAGTGATGCCTCAGCCTCAGTGTTACTCGTTAACTGAGGGACTTAAACTGCAGCCCGATACTCGATGGAACATAAACATTGTCACGCCGCCCTCTGCGACCCGAAGGTGATTCACGTCGTCTGACTCGAACTGAACTATGTTCGATAGGACTGTGAAAATAGATGTTTTAGGTGAATCTGTAGTTTGCCCTTCTGTTTTGAGTTATCAGTCTAATTTTGAGTTGCGTCGAGATGATGCGTTTTTTCAAGAGGAGTGTAATGCCGGAAAGTCTCTGGTAGTGGGAGGCCCGTGCTTGAAGGGCACGTTCGACGTTTGTGGCCTCAATGATGAAACTTCGACGGTGGTAGGCGGGCTCCACACAAGGCCTTGCACGCACTCGCTCGGCATTACTCGTGGCAATATTGGGTTTTTGCGTTTTTGTCCACAATCTGCATGCGCGAGAATGGCTCCCGTAACACGCAAGTTGTTCCCGCATGTATATTGCGTTGTGAAATACAAATCTGCTGCATCCACGATCTGCGGTATCTGTTTACGCAACATGCGAGTTTGTTGCAGATTACCGCATTTTTGTCTGCGATCTGCACTCGCGATATTGATCCCCGTGTCGAACAAGTTTGTAGCGAGTCCCGCTTGCTTATTCCTCCATGAAACATGAATCTGCTCTGTCTGCAATCTGTGGTATCCATTCCTGAGTCGCGTGGTTTGTAACGGGTATCCCGGTGTTTATCTTTAGTTTTTGATAAAGTTTTGCTATGGCATTCCCAAAGATAGCCCGCCCCATGTTTTTCACCATTTATCTCTTCATTTTGGGTGGGCGTTCTTACTGAACTTTACGGTACCGTTTCACGAGAATCTCTCATGGTTTGGAGGCTTTTTTGCTTGTATGGTTCAGTAGTGCTCGAATTGTGTAGTTCGGCTCCCAAATCTAAGTGGGTAATATCTAGTGCAACAAACATTTTGAAAACGTTTTTTTGTTCACGTCATTGTCCTTTGCTCGCCAATTTCAGGGTTAACGTCGTCACTTAGCTTTCACCCCCGCACTTTGTCCTGATGTTCTTCGTTACTTCTCTCGTCAATGCAGGGACCACGCAAGAGCCTAATGGAGCACCTGACATTCGAAGATCACATTCAGATTATAGTGACTCACTTCAAGGAGCTTTCTGTTGTCAACAAGGTTAGTGAATTTTTCCTTGCCCCTCGACGTGATCGAAGGTCAGATTTGTCACATGGGCGCTTATGCTGTAGGAGGTCGAGACTGCTTCAGAAAATGGCCTTTCGTGTCTTCAATGTGGTGCACCCCCAAAAAAAATGTACAGCTTTTTTTTTTTTTTTGCAAAAATAAAGTAAGCATTGCCAAACATTCAGTTCCCACCCAAGTGTAGGGCTGGTGGTTCGGACCAGATGCCAAAGTTCCAGAGCTTGTTACTATCTTAATCAAAAGTTGTAAGCTATCTTCTCAAACATTGAGTTGCAAAATGGACTTGGTCCCGTTAGCTGACGCTATTCATCTCCATGCATTCGTGGGCTTTGTAAGCCGCCATTTTCCCATAGAAAATTTCTGTAAATCGCCGATGACCTGAATTGGATAACAGCAAGCTCTGAAACTTTGCCATTTGACCTGGACCGATAGCGCTACATTTGGGAGGAGACCGAGTGTTTGTCGACATATAGTTTATTTTTGTGGTGAAACAACACTTTTCTTTTTTTATTTGGGGTTGTGTAGGGAAATTTTCAGGGATGGGACAGCTGTGCCAGTTGCCGTTCGTTTTGATACATTCACATTTTCCTGCACCTAGCGGTGCGAAAAGCGTGAAATCGACCAAAATTGCGCCACGCTGTGCCAAACGTCACGGTGATGCTAGATTCAGCGAAAAGTGGAAGCTCAGTTGGCCACCTTGGCTATTCCGTTGCCAGGTGGCACAAGCAGCTGCCCAATTCATTGGTTCAGCCATATCTGTCATTCATCCGTCTATCTGGTGGGTCCGATGTATACATCCTAACAATCGTTTCGTTGCATCATACATCATACATGCTATGATGTAGGATGCAACGTAGCATGTAGCAATAATGTTTTCAAGTTGTGCCTCTCCAATTTTAATTCAAATTTGTTTGTTAAATAAAATGTCTTTCTGTGTGCAATTTCAAATATGTCTGAGTAAAGTTCTATTCAATGCTTTCCAACACTTGTAGACGTACGAACCTACTTTGCTTGACTTGTAACTCATGGTACAGCTGGCTAAGATGCTTTTTCAAAATGATGTCACAGTTACTCCTAATGTGCTCCAAAATATTGAATTTTTATTCCCAGTGCTCCAAAGTGAAGAATTTCCTGCTAAGCTGCTCCAAAATGCAAACTTTTCTGTTCCAAAATTGCTTCATAACCAGTTTGACCTGCCCCACCCCTGAATTTGGCAATGTAGTACATTTGCGTCTTGTTAATATAAACACTTGCATTAATTCTTTCCCAAAATCATCCCTAATATGAGTCTTCCATAATAATGACACAAAAATTAATGTATTTACCAAGTTCTTCCCCGAAACTTTTATGTAGTATATAACAGGGTATCCAGATTAATTCCATATTAACAATACATCACTGTAGTGATAAGATGGCCACATGCTGATGCAGTGCCTGTCCGTATTACAATTGGCGGGTGAGGGAAATTTTAAATTTGATCTTTGAGTTTGTTTGATTTTGCTTCTCATGTTGGCACTTTGTGGTCAATTAACATGCTTTGCCTAGGTAGCTGGGAGGTAATGCATGGGCCTACGAATATGACAAGGGTGGTGCAAGTGCAGTGCAGTTAAGATTTGGTTCCACATTAGGTGCTTCCATGTGACATAATCCTCAGTCTTTCACTAGCTGGGGTTGCCAGATGCGTTTTGTTTATTTGGCATGTAACGATTCTTTGTATTTCTAGGTGTTTAACCCGTCTATAATGCTATTTTGAAGGTGGTGTCTATGACGAACACCAACTGGAAAAAATTGGGCTATAAATGTGGCTATGTGGGTTTGTTGGCTGACAGACATTACCATAAATAATGCGGGTGCCATCAGAACATTTGGGATTTTTCCTTTCTAGTTACCTGAGGGCCTGTTGCTAGACATAGGCATCATTCCGAATCATTTCATTGACCTTGAATTCAGAAAATCTCACATACAATGCACACCATATTGAAAAACACAATTATCTCTAGAGCTTCATAATGTATTTTTATTGTCTATGCAGTTTCCAAAGAGGAAATATGAGAAAATATGCAGATGAATGACCCTAGTGATCAAATAGAAGGATGGGTATTAAGCCGCCGAAAGTCAAAATCTTTAGTGGTGCTTGGATTAAAACTCTGGGCCTCCTAACTGCTGGTCGGGCCTGCTAACCACTACACCACACTGCCTTGTCATTTCTGCATTTCCTGTCTGTCTTATTGATGCATGTGGACAAAATGTATTCAATCAGAGGTGTTCTGGAAGCACACACCGCCATGTGGAACACGGCACGACGCATACTGGCACATGGATGTGCTTGTTCTGCTCCAGAATTCCTCTCACTGTTCGTCCGATCACATGCATTGTTTATTGTTTATGAGCTTTAGGAACACGGTTGTGTTGGGAGAGGCGGGGGTCGAATTTTGGTGTTGTCAGAGATTTTGCCTTTTGGCGGCCTCATAACCTTTGTTCCCGTCTATCGGTACGGTTCATTCATCCCCTTTTTTAGAACACTTTGTAACATATGACTCACACTGGTTAGGGTAGTTTTACCGAAAGTATCGGTAACTAAAGTCGACATTGTTTTTAGTGTTGCTTCTGTTTCATAAAAACAAACTTACGTATGTTTGTGTAATGCGACTAATCTTCTCGTGCCATTGATTGCATCACTGCCTAACTCTGTTACATTTTCCGGAGGGCAAGTGCCTCGACAACCTCGGTTCTTTGATTTTTTCTTGTTTTGCACGCTGCTCTCTGATGTTGTAGGAGCAACAGGAAGAGATTGGACACCTGAACATTCAACTCGATGCACTCACGAAGGCAGTCAAGGTGCGTTGTGCCGCTCTCCTCACACTCATTTTCTTGGCTCACCAGAGACACTGATTACGCCGTTGTTTGCCTCGCAGGAGGGTAACCGTCGAGTATCTACGACACTAACCACCATCAGCAGGGCACTACACGTAAGTACATCGCTTCACCACACTAGTTTAACCTACTGTGTCACCAGACTGAGTGGCCTGGATAGATACATAAATGGCCGGGGATCTTAATTACCATCTCACGACTCTGTTGCATGAGTACTACTGTGAAATACTGAGCAAGTGCACTGGGGATTAGCAGTTAGGCCAGAATGGAAAAATGCAGAAGGGGCACGTGATAGCAGGAGTTCCACCACTTTGCACCAAAGGGGCTTGGAGAAGAGCACCTTGGCTAGGTGAACTCAGAAATCTGGAGTGGGCACTTTCTTTGTACTTTGCTTATTATTTCAACATTTCATAAGTAGGGGGTGGATGCTTATGACATGTGTGGATGCTCGGTATTTTTATGATTAGTTGTTCCCCCCCTCGTCTGGCATTGTCCCTCTGGCATGTCGCGACCTTTCTCCTGTTGCCTACGTCACACAGCTGATTTCATTTGATTAATATAGAGTTGCGGAGGTTAATTTTTGACCAATTTTCTTCATTGAGAGCGGATTCGCTTTTCTATATTGCTAAATGTTAGGTGTTTTCTTACACAGGGCATATTTTTTTTAAGCTTAACAGATTTGTTTGAGAAAAGCCGTGAAAGCTACACTTATGCGGTTTGTGCAGGTGAGTCATACGACCATGGGGACAGAGTGTAGAGGGCTAATCGTAATGATCAGTCAGCTAAGTAAAATCTGTTCAATAACTTTTTAACTAGTGAAAATGAACTTATGGTTGCAATTAGAAACTTGCTGATCGTCACCGAAAGCCATTAAATTAATCAATTTTAGAACTACTTTAGCTCGTAAAAAGCTTAGTAGTGCGCTAAAGGTACCGCTTGTGCAGCAAGTACGAGGCTAGGGTCATGATAATAGACGGAAAAATCATGCGGGTGCGTTATCGCACCAATAGCCTTGCTTCTGCTGCACGAGCGATAACTTTAGCGCACTACTGTGCTTCTTATGCACTCAAAGTTTTTCTAAAAATTACTGATTTAGTGGTTTTCGATGACGCTCAGCAAGTTTCTAATTCGAACCATATGTCTATTTCCACTAATTAAAAGTTAATTTATTTATTTTACTTAATTAGCTGACTGATCGTTACGATTAGCCCCCATACTATGTCCTCCTGTCAGTATAACTCACTCGCACAAACCGCGTAGCTTTCACAGCTTTTTTTAAAGAAATCTTCTAGGCTTAAAAAGAAAACACCCTGTAGATTCGACAGTTAGTCATATGAAATCAGTGGAATATAATCGGGATATTTATGCCACTTATGCCAAAGGAGTACAGTGTACGAGTATCTTCTAAAAAGGCTAGAGTTGGACTAGGACTGGAGCTTAAACATTTAGTGTGCAAAAATTATTTTTCAAGGAGTGTGCAGAACTCCAGGTAACTTGTATAAGGATGATAACTGAATACTAAAGTCAGCTTGAAATGAATTGATCACATCATTGCAAACATTTGGGTCTGGCAATTGGCAGCATGGTAAAACTGCCTTAACATTAATTAGGAAAAATGTGACTCAATGGACAAATGTGGACTGTAAAAAAAGTGTCATAATTAACCTGGCACTCCTATCCAACGTGTGCCACTTACATCTCTTGTTTGTGTGTGGTGAAAACTTTTCTGAAGCTGAGTTCTCTTTTTTTTTATTTCCTCAACTCCCAGGCACAGCAGGAAGAAAACCGCAAACTGAGGTCTAAGTTGGACGATCTGTCGAGAATGATTGAGGTAAGCTGCAACCTTTTTTCTTTTTATAAAGGTGCTTAGACCTGGGCTCCTGGAAATTTCAAATATAACCTGTTATTTTTTTATAAGAGGGGTGAGTCTAAAAGATATTTTTTTTTAGTAAACTAGAAGTATTTGAGAGATAACTGAATTGAAGAGAAATGTACAATTCCTTACCATTGCTACCATCCCATTTGACTGCATAAACATGAGCATACTCCAAACATAGGAGCTTTATCTTTGTTATATTTTAATACACCTTCAGACTTGATTTTTTTACCTCAAGAATGCTGCCCTCTTCAAACTTCAGGCGGTGGCTGATGTCTTTACGTTTGCGTTAAAATATGGGTCATCCTCAAAGAATTCACTGTCCTTTTAAACAAACTGAAAACACCCCTAGATTCATATATATGGCAATCTATGGGACTGTCGAGCAGTCAGCTATCACACGCTAAAATCTGAGAACGGGTCACAAGGTCATGTTTTGGCCACCAGAAAATGCCACCGGTCAGTCAGCTTTGCCTAAGCAAACTTTCAGCCTTGCCCCTTTTCCCCAGAGATTGCCCTGTACACTAGTACATTAAAGAAATTCTGGAATCTTGTCACATAATCAGGCACAACGTCAGTGGTTCTGTGAGCGCACAGCAGCATCTTTTACCAGTAGTTCTCAGCGGTGCATGTCATCAGGGTCCCCTGTATGTCATATATGGTGTTATACATCTAAGAAAATATTACCGTGAAAGGGGCGTTTACAAAATCCAGCGCTCTAGCCTTGTCATCTATCTAGAAGACGTTGAACGAGTGCACTCACACGTACGGTGGGAGAGTGTGCAAGAAGCAAGAGGGGAGAAAACAAGCGTGTGATTTGGTCGAAGCGAGGAAACACATAATAGGCAGGAATAAAGCTCCGCAGAAGGTGCATACTTCACGTTCCACTCCTGCTGGAAGGGCCTTTTCCTTCGGAGGTGCTACGCCCACCAACATTTGCACCATCGACGCACCAAATGTATACCAAGTTTACTTGCGCAACGTTGTTCCGAAGCAACGCATCATAAAATCTCTGTTACCCCTGCCTTTGCTGCAATAGCATGGGAAAGGGGAGAATTTTCGAGTTGCCTCGGTGTCGGGTTTCGCACTGTTTCTTTCGAAGTGTTTTGAAGTGGGAGCGATGACTGGCAGTTTTTTGTAGCAATTCAGAAACAAGTGCCCGCACCTGTGCGTCTCGTTGCAGCAAAAAACAATCCACCCGATACTGAGTTCAAAGCTAGAGGGTACCACCACAACACACCACAGGATTCCCAGGGTAAGTTCCGTCATACTCCTGGCACCGTGTGTACGGCACAGTTGAACTCGCTTTCTAACTAACAAATTAACTCTAACCTGCTTGTCGCGCAGCAGTGTCAGGACTGACATCAGATATTACCACCCTTGCAGAAAATTTGATTGTTTTCTGATGAGATTTAGTTTTATTAAATATATATTTTTTTACTTATGGGCTGGTTAGATTACTCATATAGTAGGAGGTTGTCATCCTCACAGTGTACGCGGCTACCTTGTGACTGAGGGGCTGGGGTTTGCATCCATCGAAAAATCTGGCTTCCCTTTTAACATGCTTGTGAATTCCTTCACAAGAGTTTCAGAGTGCTGTACCTTGTCTTATCCTACAATGGACTACAGCCAAAGCTATGGACCTCCAAGTCCGACCATAAGCCATTTCGAAACATGGTATACTACTCCAACATGTCTATCATAGCACATCGAAGCAATATACCGCATGGCTTTTAACTGGCTCTTGATTGGACGTGGTAAGTCATAGCTTTGGCCATTCTAAGGTGAGAGGTAAAGAAAACACTTGAAACTGAATGTTATTGTTTGCAAATTTCTTAATGATAGTACAATTTTGAAAATACCTTAGCTGATTTTGTCTTCTAGAATAGAAAGATAAATGCCGTAACATTCCCTAGGGGCCTATATTTGAAACTGGATTCTGTGTGTGCAATTCTGAGGCTCTGTGTATCACAGAAAAATGGGTATCCGCATTTATAAATTTTGTCGGATAACCATCTATCATAAGCTGTATGTTATCTCCATTATGACCATTACATATAAAAGCAATATTTGTGTCATATCGAAATGTTAATACATAACGCTTGTATGTGGAGTATCTGGCTGCAGTAAGTTTCCAGCCATCCACATGTGCTAGAGATGAGAAGGAAATTGATTTTCCATGCACTAATGGAAGGTTTTCATGTGATCTTTTTTATGAACAGGGCTCTGCATTTTTTGTTCCTTAAACTTTCACTTGATATCGAACGTTCTATACTCCGTTTCACCTTATGTTGTACCGCAGACAAGGCTAGAAGCGCGAGCTCATAGCGTTGGGAGCTACTCTTAACGCACGAGAGCTTGTGCCGCCGAGATGTGCCCTAGAGCAAGGAGCTTGTGCTTGTAGCCTTTCCTGCGGTACATAATAAGGTGAAACATGGTATAGCAAAAACTGACATGACAATCAGATATAGGGCATGTGCAAATAGTGGATTTTGAGTTTGAAGCAAATTCGAAGCAAATTGTGGCTTTGGCTGAACGTTTTTTTAATCGAATATTCTGTGTCTGCTATGGCTATGGCCATGTCTTTCACTATTCTTGCACCATACGAAATACAGCTGAACTTGTAAAGGTTGTTTCCAAGCTTCCACTTTCCCACTTCTAGGCTCGGTTAATTTTAATCTAATTGTCACCTCAGAAAGTCCAATGCCTACATTAGGGTGGCGAGGAGATAATGGATTTGACCTCAAATTAAACCTGTACAGATCCCCAGCCATACCTTATTGAGGGGATGAATAAATAAATTTGCTACATGCAAATATTGTTTCTTCAATCTCAAACTTCAAAAAAAAAAAAGATAAGAAGAAAAACCAATCACAAATGATGAATGCAGGTTGCCATGACAGCGCTGCCCTAGACATATTTGTGTTCCTTCGTTTTCGGGTAAAGCCCTATGTTTCCCGATATTTACACCCCAAACATGTTTCTTGAAAATTGGTTTAGACTTGATTTTCCCCCAAATTTGGAATTTGAATTTCATCATTTTCCAAATTAATTTTCTCCAATAATATTTTGTAGGAAACAAAGGGTGTGTAGAAATATGTGTGCTAGCTCCAGACCTCCGAAACGGGCCTATAGATTCTGATGGTTTCAGTGAACTGCAGCAATATAGATTGTGCCCCAAAATGTTGCTTTAATGCCTATTGTGAAGTATCTTTTGCCCTCCTTTATTTTCGTGTCATTCATAAAAAAAAAAAGAAGAGAGAGAAGAATAAGAAATTACTCTTAAAACTTTGTTTCGAAAGATAGAACAGATATTTCGTTCCTGTCGAACGGAAGTGCTATTGTTGTGCATTGCAACTGTATGGGTAAGCTGTGATGTTGAGGGAATGTTGTCCCAATTCAGATATGTTCAAAAATCAGACAGGACTAGGATGGATACAGAGATGATGTGCATGCAGAAGATTATGTAAGCAACAAGAATTATGAAAAATCGAAAAGCCCAAGTGAGCTCTTATACTATAAGATTTATCACTCCAACCCCGCTCTCCATTGCACTGTCTTTAGAACCCTCGTACATATCATCACGTGTAGACCATGGCCTAAAGGTAGGGATTCCCCATGAAAGCACCTCCACTTTTAATGCCTCCTTTCTATCCCAGACCTCCGTTGACTGGAATCGCCTTGCCGCACATATAGTCTCAATGACTAACACTGTTGGTTTTAAAAATGTTTTGGAGCGCAGCTCTAAGGCGCATGTTTCCGGCTTGAGCGGCGTCGCCTTCGGCGTTGCCGTCGGTGTAATTGCGCGGTTCATTATGGGACGCATGACGTCACTGATGACGTCATCAGCATTGTCATCGTCACCAATGACGGCATCAGCATCAGCCCTGATGACGCGATCAGTGACGTCACTTATGACGTCATCGGCATCCACATTGTCATCGTCACTGATGATGTCATCGGCATTGTCATCGTTACTGATGACGGCATCGGCCCTGATGACGCAATCAGTGACGTCACTTATGACATCATCGGCATCCGCATTATCATCGTCACTGATGACGTCATCGGCATCGGCATCGTCACTGATGACGTCATCAGTGACGTCACTAGTGATAATGACGTCATCAGTGACGTCACTGGTGTTGTCACTGATGACGTCATCGTCACGTGACCTCATAGGGGTCACATGACCTTGTGAGGTCACGTGACCCTCGTGAGGCGACAACGATGCCGCTCGGAGGGAGGAGTAGCAGACAGAATGAGGAGGTGAGGAGGAGGGAGGAAAGATATACCTTCCCCTCAGTACCCTTCCCCTCCTCGTCCTCGAGAGCTGCGCTCTAATCCGGCGTTACAAGGAGTTGTAAGCGGCTTTCATTTTTTGCTAAGTTTTTAGCAGATGTTGCGTAGTGCATGTTTTTTTTTTTCCTCGCTCATCTATGTTACATCTATGTGTTTTAGAGTAACCGCCCACTCCCCTCTTAATGCCTTCGGGGCCCTGATGGAATAATAAATGAAATGAAATATGTATATGTTCCAATGTTATCTTTTGTATTCCAATGACCTGATTGTGAAAAACAAAACAATCAATGCTCCTTATTGTTAATTATATTTGTATATTTCTAAATATAACCTAAACCAGAATCATTTTTTTTCAGTCCGATCGATTTCTTTTTGATTACGGAATGCCGGACAGAAGCACACCGGACAAAAGCTCACCGTATTCTTCACAGACCCAGACAAAAGCTCATACTAACTCTTACACGTGAACCCAGATAAATGCTCACCCGGATAAAATTGTTTGCTTTTCTACGTGAGCTCAAATAATGTGAGAAATTAAGCAGGACATTCTATGAAAAAGTATATATGACTTCCACAAGGTATGTTTATTGTTTAAGAGAAGGACGTTTATTGATCAAACCTTTGAAGGTGAATATAGCCTTCCACTGCTCGAGCAGTCACAGCTTCCTCAGGTGGTTCTGATGATGCTTCGTTGCCTTCTGAACCTTGGCGTGCTTCCAGTAAAGCTGTTGTGACCAACACTTGATCCTGTTGAAGACATTCGATCAGCCTCCAGACACACCCATCTTGAAGAACTTTCTTTTTTCCGTCTGTTGGTCAGGGTTACCTGCATCATAGAAAGAAACAAGTCTAACTAGCAGTGTTCAAAAGTTGCTTTGCATAGCATCCACATAAATGAAGAACAACTGGGCTCAAAGATGGTACTTTTCAGTATATGCTTTACTGAATGGGGAGGTCACTTATGTGAAATGACTTACGTGACCCAGTTTAGCCCAGCCCATTTCACTCGGAGAAAACTTTTGTTCGGGTTATCAAAAAAAGAGAGGAGCTTATGTCCGGGTCCGCTGAAAAATAAGTGAGCTTTTGCGTGGGTTTGCCAAAAAATAGGTGAGCTTTCGCCCGGTGAGCTTCTGCCCGTTTACCCCTATTACGAGCTTGGAACAAAGCGAGCAATATTTTCCCTCTGATTTTTTTAAAAGACAAAACTCAAAAATGAAGGACCCTACTGTATTCTTGCATAATAGCCCTAGATTAATTTTGAAAATTTTACTGCTATGTAGATATAAATGTTCATAAAGCATACATTTGCTTTAAAGTACACCAGGCACATCCCGCTTTGAAGGTGTGCTTTTCTTCTCTAAGCACACGTCTGCACTGCAGCGAAGCAAAGTTTGCTGGATTGCGGTGTCAGCTCCGTGGGTATTGCTTCTCTGCAGTGCACTGATGCTCGAGGGAGAAGTGTGCTCAATGAGGTTAACCCGTTGCGATGAACACTTTGAAAAGTATGAATCTTGCAACATATCTGGAAGCAAATATCAAATAGCATATTATTCGACACTACTATTTGAAAATTTTGAATCTTTGCACAACCCTATCACATTCTAGTAAGCAGTTCATAATTCACCAGCTGTTCATTACTTCAGAATGAATGCTTGACATATTTCTTAAGGAATTTAAGAGAACAAGCCAGTAAGTTTGATTGACTAGATTCTCCCGTTCAAGCAGGTCGCTGAAAAACGTGAAACTCTAGGAAAAGTCAGGGGCTCTCGGCATGCATGTTCCTTGAGCCTTGACGAAGCCTCTGAGTGGCTTGGTGCTGTCACGCAGGACGGCACAATCGAACGCGTGAGCTATCCACGCTACGTTGAAGCGGGCCTTGTGTCACGGCCCGTCAGCGCCCGGGGGACGTCGTCGTCATCTGCAGGCGCCACCGGCATCGCTGCGGCTTCGTCTTCGCGGGCGATGCGTCACCACCCGAGCACCTGACAGCCGCTTGGGGGTGGTGAAGGGGGCTATGCCCACCAGCAACAGCACCATCACCACCACCATCACCACCACCACCACCCGTCGGGTGCGGGACCCTCGGGTTCGTGAGCGGGACCCATGCTTTCAGCCCACACTGTTGTGTTTGAACCAGCCCACGATGCGACTATGGCTATGGCCGTGTCTATGTCTATGTCTGTGGCTACGGCTACGGTTGTGGCTATGACTGCAGCTTAAAGCGTGCCACATAGAGGCTGTGGCTACAGCAGTTTCTGTGTCTGGCTACGGCTGCGGCTTTTACTACAGCTGTGGTTAGGGCTCTGTCTATGCCTATGGCTACGGCTACAGTTGTGGCTCTGACTGTTTGTGGCTATGGCTGCAGTTGTGGCTAGGGTATTGGCCTTGTCCACGACTGTGGCTTTGGCTACAGCGTTGGCTACGCCTACGGCTGCGGTTTTGGCTACAACAGTGGCTTCAGGCCCGAGACGAAGTGGCTTTCGGGTACTGGAATTGGGGGAGGAGGTCTTTGCATCTTGCATCTGTACGTGTAGAGCATCGCTGTACCTGCATCAACAAAACTTTTACAGTCCATCTGAGCACTTTTTCTGCAGTAGCTGTTTTTTTTACTGTAGTCTCTGGTTGTGCTATTTTGTGGTCCTCTGCTGAAATTTCGAAAGCCTGTCAGAACAGAGATAAACGACTTAGAGCCATTGAAGTAATGCAGCGAGTAGACGAGGGCAGCATCTGTGTTTGACTGTGTGCGTCATCTGTGTGCTGCTTTAGTTCCTTTAAAGTTGATTCAGGTGCAGCGATGTCCCCAAGGGGGTGATTGCTGCTGCAAAGATATTTCTAGAGCAGAGGCCTGGGCTTTATGTGGCTTGAGCATGGAGCGTTTTAGCAACATCTATCGGGGCTTTTTGTAAAGCACTCTTTAAGTAGGCATCTCTGCTAGACCCATGATTATGGAACCCTACAATATAATTCCCAACAGTTGATTTGACAAAGTTGAACAGTTGCTTTGTTTTAGATGATCCAGGCTTCTTACAAATGGTGCAAGAGAAACATGGCAGATCGGTTCTTTATATCTCGCTGGAGCTCGTCAGACATTTGACAAGTGTGTCTTTGTATGTGAAGCACATTGCCGTAGAAATACTGTCGCCTTTTCAAGCCTATTCTTACTTTAATTTTGCCCATTCGAATACCATTTAAAGGTCGGAGGAAAAGTCCTTCAAATTAAAAAAAAATATTACAGGTAGCAGTTTGAAAATTACAGAATCGTTGCATCATGAATTGGAGTGGGTGCCCTGACTTCTTTGTCAGTATAGATTGTGAGGAAACACCCTTTATAAAATCTGATTGCGATCACAACATTTAAGGCCTAACATTGTATAGAGCGTTCTCCAGCGCGCTCCTGAATTCTGACAGGATTTGTTGCTCATTTTGGGTTGCACGCCAATGACGGCCAAACTATTCTCGGCATTATAGAGTATGTTTGTTACACTATCCGTCTTACGGCAGCGTAGCTCCATGGCTTTGCCATTTGCAACAGCTCGGCGGCGTACTGCCAGTCGAGCTGGTGGGGTCATTGAAAACTGTTCTTTGTGCCCAAAAAGCACCCGTAGCCCGCCATTCATGCGGACCGGCAAAAGTATAGCCCCTATTCTTCTACGCCGAGGAATTTGCATACAACTGAGACGCGGTAGGCACGTAAGCGGAGAAAATATCAGCACGGGCCACCGTGCGCATTGCTCAAACGACCCGCGAGCGAGGAGTGCTATGTTCCCCGAGGATCCATGTGTTGTAACAAAACGAACTCGCCTCGTGACGACGCCGGCGGCGAGATCGGTTTCTACGGTGGTTGCATCTCGCATTGTGTTCACAGCCGTCTGCAATCGGTCGACCCGCGTGTACCGGGACGTTCTTCCAGAAGGTTTCTGGGGAGTCGTCGCCTTGTCCGTGGTTTCCGCGACGAAGTGTCGCTGAAACTCGTAGCCACATTCTTAACGCAGGCGTGCCAGACGGACGAATCCGTCGCGAAATTTCCGCTCCTCGATGTCGCAGCATGTCACGGCGAAATCGGTATCAGCGTTTCATTAACGACGAAGGTTATAGCTACCAGTCGTTCGGTGACAGTCACGAAGTCTGGGTAACTGGCAATAGCTTTACCAGGTCACGTCGTGCGTTGGTTTCCATTTAAGGGGGAGGAAACGCTGTCCTGCAAACTAAAACTGCCATGGGGGAAACGAAAGAAGAAAAAAAAAAAAAGCCATACACCACACGAAGCTCAAATTATGTCGTCGTCATATACACTATTTACGATGTAGCTATAGCTGTACATACAAGACTTATATACATATATAATATAATATACATACATATAAATATATATATATATTGCTTGTGACTCAATTATGATCCTGCTACTGACGGTAGTCCTAAAGGCGCACCGACGATTACACCGGATCTGTATGCACGCCTTTGCGACGAAGGCGTTTCGAATTTTGCAGCAGGGATTCCAACGTCTACCTTTACTGGACACCATTCTAGGCAAGCCTCACAAGCATCTTTCGGAAAGAGTATCTTTTAGGGCCTCTACGTAGTGTGGGGTCTTTGTCCCCACAAGTCCTCCAAGCTGTGAAAGCCACATGTACAGGGTTGCGTTGCAGTGCGTTGCAGGGATCGGAAGCCATCTCAGTCGGTGTTTGGGCAGGGTGTCGGTTATGCACTTTTGTCAATGTTTTGCCAAGTTCCTTTTGCATCCAGGTAGCACAAATGGTGTAGGCAGTCCAAAGTCCACAGCATACATAAACCACTTAATCGTTTTAGGATCTTAGTGCACCTTCTTCAAGATTAAAAGCTGTATGCACAACATTGGCCTCCAAGATCTATCGGTATCTCTGCTTGACGTTCCCATTTAACTTTTGGTTGTTCGCATTGAACTACCAGCTTAGCTTAATGTCACTCTAGAGAACGCTGTAGTTCACATTTTTTTCAAGAAAGGATACAAGCCTGCCTATTACATCATGGCGGGCAGGTTTTTAATTCCGGTGCACTACTTCCCGAACATGAAATGCGATACCGTGGAATCGCAGAAGAGGCTGCTCAATGAAAGCTTCCTGTATGCTTTGCTTGATACAAAAACATGCCTTGTAGCCTATACACTATGGTGCGCTTTCCTGCACCCAGGTTTTGCAGCAATTCTGCCTTTGTTCTATGAAGGGTTAGAGAGGCGTTGACAGGTTCTTGGTGGTATCTACAACAGATTATGGAGAATGGGAACATTAAGGCTAGCCGATGCACATTAATCTTCATATCAGGACGTAGAGTACTCTGTAACATCTAAATTTCAACCCAGCCCTTGAGCTGTACATGAATTTATTCTGACATTACATATTACATTTAATGACATAATTTTTTGTAGGTGTCGCTCACATTTTCAACATAGGCAAATGGCCGACGTGTGGACAGCACCTATCGCCCCTTTAAACCTAAGCACAATCTGCTAGCTAGGATTTGCAACGTGCTGCACTTCTGCATGCATGCAGCATTCTTTCTCTGGCTTATCATTGATTGCAAAGCTACCTTTGAACATTTCCCTTTGTGTCAATGATTTCTGTACGGCTATGACAACTTCCAAACACTGTACTAGTATAAACAAACTCGACAACATTTGAAAGTAGCTCAGACATTGCGTGTTACAAGTCAGATTTCGTGAATTCGTTGCTAGATCTTTCGTTAAGTGTGTCAGCTCGGAACGCTTCTATTTTTTGTGACATCATCTAGGAATGTGCCGTGCACAATGTAGAGCAAAAAGTCTAGTTGCTTGAACACGTCGTCTTTCATTGAATGTGTTGGTGTGTGTTCTTCACTGCCTGTTGGAAAAGTAGCATTGTGAATATGTAGATATGCCTTTTTGATTACTAGTCATGTGTGCATTTCGTGGGACAATGTTTCTTGTTACTCCTTAAATGTGAATCTGTGTTTTGTTGGAACCATTTCATAATTTTAATTTCCATAATATGTACTGCTTTGTTTTTGACAAATTTTTGTTTCATATTTCCTTGATTTAAGGTGTTCTTATACAAGTTTCTGACCCCACATAAGTTTCTGATTGTCAAATTTGAGCCTGACTTTAGAAAAATGTTAGACAAAACAGAGTTATGTTTGTATCATGTCTTCTAAAAAAAACGGTTGTTTCATGACTAAAGCTGTTGCAGGTTTTTTCCTACATCTTTTAGTGTTTTTATGCAATTATCCAACTTGTTGCAACTTTCACCATGCCTGCACATTGTTATTAGTATCTGTAAAAAGCATTAGAAAATAATTATAAAAATATTTCACTGCCTGCAGGCAGAGAGTCATCTATTCGAAGGCCACTCCAGCAAGATGAAAAAAAGTACATAACCTTTGATTTTGATCCATTGAACATTGACCAAAATTCTGAACAGAGATGGTAAACATTTCATCCTGAAATCCCCTCTACCAGTTAGGAATCTGCCAACCAAATGCTCTGACATCGCTAGTTAGTAGTCATGTGGCACTTTTCGTGCTCTCTCTTCAGCATTGTGCTGCACAAGCATGCGGATAACGAAGAAGGAAGTGCTCAAAAAGTGCTCATGTACGTACTCCCGTGCTGTCATGATATGCATTATTCTCAACCGATATGCACTATTCTGAACCGGTATGCAGTATTCTCAACCGATATGCACTATTCTGAACCGGTATGCATTATTCTCAACCAAAAATTGTCTGAAATGTCATTAACGATTTTCATGGCAAACAAAATGCCCCCAGTTTTGGCTTGAGGGGCTCTTGAGGCTGATGTTGTTTTTTTCACTTAGTGTTGTTATTAATGAGCCAAGGGTTGTTGGTTTTGAACCAGGCTGCTGCATTTAGATCTCCGAAGTGCTCTCTGATGCCCCTTCAGGTTTTTTAACATACATGTGTTCCAAGCTTCAGGTATATATGGCGGTGCTGGTTTATAAAGTTTTTTTTTTATTTCTATCATGCACATTCGATTGTTGCTTTACAGTGGCTTAAGCAGTTTTTATCTTTTTTTTTTTTGTCGTGAAAGCTTTGCTCACCTGGCATTCATCAGCATTCTTCACAAGTTGATCACACAAATTTGAGGGGTGCCTCTGCTCAGTTGGTATTTTAAGAGATTTGCTCGTTTAGTTGTTTGTTGTGATTTGAAATTTCTGGCAGCAAGTTTTAGAAGTCTTGAGGGTGATCAAAGTGTGGTGGAAAATTAATACCATTTAGTCCCTCACATGGGTCCATTAACCTAAATTGGTGTGGACATGCCAAATAATATAGTCAAATCTTTCCATATAGCAGGTCCAAGGAAATAGTTTTCAAAACAACCACTACATTTCCAAAGTATATGCCAACTTCTGGGTGAGTTTAAAATCATTAAAACTAAAACCTTAAAAAAAAAAAGAAGGAAATTATCTGTGTGGCCACAGAATGCCACCTTTAGAAAAATTGAAAATCTTGTGTCCTCTTAATGCTTGAATTTTGTTATTGAGGAAACAGTTCAGTTTTTTTTAGCATCACATAGAAAGTTTGCAAGTCAAATATTACAATGCAATTGCGTTTAAATTTTTATTAAAATGACACAGGGTACCGCGATACAGATGTCATGGGACGCAGTGCCAGAGCCAAAGTTCCAGTTTATAAACATGGGTCATTTCAGATGTTATCTCATCAAACATGTAGACTGCAGAGCATGAAGAAATTTGGTGAAAATACACATAGCTATACCAAACAAAGTTCCCATAACAAAAAAAAGACAAATGTTGCAAATCTGCAGGTTATGTTTTTAGGAGATTGCATAAGGGTTCACCCCCTCTCAGGTTTCTTTTGTGTATTTCTTGTTAGTGATGAACAATCCTGCTCGCTTAATTTTCCAAATATTTTATCAGGGTCTGAGCATCTAAGTTCAAGACATTGTAAGCAAAAATTGACACAGTCGCTCTATAACATTTGTAGCTAAGTGTTTGCGACTACAGCCACGCACATTTTATCCCTGTCCCTTTGCTTCATGCTTTTTCGGCCAGGCCACGCCGTCTTTCGCTGCACATTCCGACTGGCATGAGCTCCCCATCTTGTCGCCTCGCGTATCGATCACCAGATGGCAGCCAACAGCTCGTTTGGAATTTCAAATATACCCTGGAAGTAGTGCTGGTGAATGCCAGGTGCGCGCAACATGGCCAGTCACGTGGATCTCCTGTGAGAATCACGATGCTAAGCAGAAGGTACTGCAAGTGTTGGTTGTTCCCCCCCTCCTCCCCATGGCTGGTGCATCCGAAGAACTGCGAGTACTACCAGCAGCCGCCCCTTGTAAATACAAAGGCGTCAACGCTTTACGACATGCAAGTGTTCGAGACGTATATTCTGCGAGGCTTTGTTCGTGACGTCGCTTTTTTCTTGCTTTTTTTTTTGTTGTTTGTTTTTTTACTTGTCTCTTATTAACGAAGGGGAGAATGTTTCTTCCGAGAGTTACGTTTATGTCCGTACCTCGCTTGAACTGTCTGGCATAGAAAGATTTTTTTTTTTTTTTTGCTGCTTTAGAAAGCATTTTATCTCAAGATAAAAAAGAGGAGCAGTTCGCAGCTGGAGACAGACACTCCAGTGGTCGGAGAGTGTGAGAGACGACGCAAGGGGTCTTTGCAAAGGTTATTTTTCTTTTGTCGCCTGGGACGGCAGTATGCCTCCGGGTGCAACTCCGGTCCCTTTCATCTTGCGTGCAGTTCTGCCGAAACGATGTATTCATATTTGTATGGTTCATCGGGGTCGGTCGATCGCACTGCTGTTCATTAAAGCGCAACCCATTGCAGAACTGCAATGCTGCCTCAGTGTGTGGCATCCTTGGTATATCGAATGTCTCGTTTCAAATAGGGTCCTCACAATGGAAAACTATTTTCACTTAGAGATTAAGCGGCAACTACGCAACATGCTAGGTGTAGGTACACCACTGCCGCAAAAGAATCTACACTTGGAGTATTGGCACTCCGTTCCTCGATCACCTTTTGGGCGCTGCCATTTCGGTACTTAGCGGCGAGCGAGCGCCATTGGGGATAATTTTGATTAAAAAATTTGTCTTCCTTAGCTTACAGTATCGGGAAACAAGGACGGTAGCCCGCTGCTCTGTCGCGGACTCTTAACATTTTAGGAAGACAAAGAAGTGTTTCCTGTGTTATCCTTGTTCGTCTTGGCCCGGATCAGAAGGTCGAAAGGAGACTACTCACATTGGTAAAAAGAAGATAAAAGTAAGATTTAATACTTAATGCGAATTGGGGTGGCTGCACAGGCTGAGTTTTCGTTCTTCCGTCGCCACACAGGCTGAGGTTCTGTTCTTCTGTCGCCACACAGGCTGAGGTTCCGTTCTTCTGTCGCCACACAGGCGTTACGGCGCAGCGAGGTGCACACTGCGTCGTACGTTGAGAGAGTCTGCTCTGCAGAGACCCCGACCGGTAACAGCCAGCTCCGCGTAGCACGATCCGTGGGAGCGGCCTCGGTGCTCGGTGCATCGTTTGGACTTCGCACGAAAGCTCTTATATGCGTAGTCGCGCCGCCGGATACTAGCAATATATATGTCGCTTACTTGTGGGAAAAGTCTACATTCGGCCGTCCGATCCGGGCCAAGACAAACAAGGATAACATTTCAGAAGTGGGATATGAATCTATGACTGCCCGAAAGGACCACAAGCTTCACGTTGCTTGACTAAGTCGAAGATGGACAAGGACAAGCTTCCACACACGACCAGCTCAGCCGAAGCCACCGATCAAGGCAAAGGAGTCTCCGTGCGTGAACTCCTTAACGTGATCGTGGAAAAAGATTGTCTGCTGAAAGACTTATTGGAACGCCCGATTTCGACTGCAGCAACGGCATCATCAGCGGCGGTGGAATCGCAAGGGGTGACGACATTCCGGGTAATGCCCGACCTGGGTAAGAACATTTCGAAATTTGACGGCAGTGACGACGCGGCATCAGCTCGTGAATGGGTGGAGAACCTGCGGCGAACGGCGACGCTCCATAAACGGCCGTCATCATTTCTGCTCGAGAGCGCCAAGCCCCACATCACGGGAGCCGCCAAAGATTGGTTGCGCTCACGCAGCGCTGACGTCACCTCGTGGGAAGAGTTCGAAGACCATTTTCGCCGAACCTTTGTCAGCCAGACGCGTGCATCGGAACGCTGGAGAAGGATGCAGGATCGCGTCCAGCAACGGAGCAAAAGTGCAGCGGCCTACTTACACTCTAAGGTTCGTTTGTGTAAGGAGGCGGGACTTGACTTCTGCGATACTCGGGAGCAAGTTATCACGAGCCTGCAATCAAGACAATTAAGTACGATGCTGTTGGGAAAAACCCATGACGACGATGACGACCTCCTGCACGATATCCAAGAATTTGAGAGGATCGAACGCAAAAGGCAAGAACGTTTTGGTGGTCCACGTGACAAGAAGAGCATGACCGATGCGGTCAGCACCCAAGACGCAAGTACCGAGGACCCGAGCAAGAGGAGCTCCCAGCAGCTAGAAGACCTAAAAGAAAACACACGCTGCCTGCTAGACTACGAGAATTTTTCTTTGCGTGTGTGCTCATTTTTCACTTTAATATTTGCGAGTGTCTTCAAACTTAACGAGGACGTTAAGGCTCCAGAACGGCCGAGTGTAGACTTTTCCCACAAGTAAGCGACACATATATTGCTAGTATCCGGCGGCGCGACAACGCGTATAAGAACTTTCGTGCGAAGTCCGAGCAAAGCACCGAGCTCTGAGGCCGCTCCCACTGATCATGTTACGCGGAGCTGGCTGTTACCGGGCGGGGTCTCCGCAGAGCAGACTCTCTCAACCTACGGCGCAGCGTGCGTCTTGCTGCGCCGTAACGCCTGTGTGGCGACGGTAAACGAAAATCTCAGCCTGTGTGGCGACACGGAACCTCAGCCTGTGTGGCGACAGAAGAACGAAAACTCAGCCTGTATGGCCACTCCAATTCGCACTATAAGTATTAAATCTCACTTTTATCTTCTTTTACCATGTGAGTAGTCTTCAACCTTTCCGATCTGGGCCAAGATGAAGAAAGATAACACCTGCAAGAACTGGCAACAATGATTTTGACCCCCCAAAATGGAAGAATGGAGGAAAAAGGTCACAACGAGGAAGTTAAAGGATTGGTGGAAATTATCTAGGGATAATTGAATGAAGTAAAACTCGCCAGCAGAGCTGGGGACAGTCGGGACAGGAAAATTGCGACTCCCTCCTGCATGGCTCCCAGTGGGCCCGGTGTTGGGGCAACGCAGACTAGGTTTGACCGGGGGAAACTTGGCAACTCCCTCGACTAGGCAAGAAGGCGGGCGGTGGCGTTTTTAGTTTTTTTGCCCAATACCCCAAAGGTCTTGCTGGCGATATCCCACATTACCTGGTGATAGTTACAAGAGTGCAGGGGGGGAAGTAAATTGGCTTAAAAGGGCAAGGGAAGGAATCACAATTTTGTTTTTTTGGTTTCTAGGCTAAGAGGCGCAAGCTACCGCTCGTTATAATGGGTACAGTCACTAGAATCCATCCATCCTATGAGTGAGGCATCGTTACTTTGAACCGTAGCTTATTTGGTATCTCGGGGTACACCCGTGCAAAGGGCTAAAACTCCACATTGAATGTGGACACGTCTGGCTCAAAGGGCTCTCTCTGAAGTCGGAAAAGTTGCGGAACCTGAACGACTCTAAGGATTGAGATGCTTATGAATGAGACATTTAATAAATTTAACGGTTAAACAGCCTCCCGACATTGTAGCTTAGAAAATAAGTCGGGAAGTAGGAGCAGACATAATCGGGGTGGTGCAGATAACTGTTTGCATGACTGTACGCGTGCTGCCTTGCCCTCTCTGCGAGGGAAATTTGAAGCAAGTGACTAAATTAAGGCGATAAAAAATGTATGTGCAGAGTGCCATTTGCTTTATATTTTTGCCTTTAGAATTACTGCTGCAGATTTGCACGTGCAGCACCTGTACCTACAAACTGAGCGAATGCTACGAGCCATTTCAGCCATTTCAGTGCCGTGTGAGTGTCACATGACCTTCTGGAGGGACGCAGCAGTGAGACGCGGGGATTGAAGTCGTATGATACATTCGCTGCAGTGGGTTGGCTGGAGTGACTCGAAGAGTCCGATGCAAGGTGTAACGGAGTATAGGTGATAATTTAACTTAGAAGTTTGGACAGCCTGTTTGCGAGTCACGCACAGAGGAGGAAGCATCAATACAAGTGCACATAGCTCTGCAATTCTGCAACGTCTCCACGAACCTTGCAGCTTGTGGTAAACGGTGTTCGCCGGAGAAAATGGTTTCAATTGAATTGTGCGTCATTATTTTTACTTCGCAGGTTTGTTGATTGTTTATAGTTGATGGAGCTTGAACATATAGATGTGTTTTTAGCAAAAAAAAAAGTAACAACAGTTGCCCATGTTAAAGCTCTGCTGCAGGCCACTGGTTGGGTTGTACAGGTGAAGGAAAGCTATGCACAAAGGCAGACACACACTTGTAGCATAAATAATGTAACTGTTATATATTCAGTGTTGGGAAGTACTTTAAAGTACTTCATATTTAAGCGTCTACCTTTTTTGCGGTTTCAATGTCTCTTGGGGTTTGGGCAAGCCAGCGGGCACGAAGAGAGTAACTAAATTTTATCAGTGCGTCATATTTTAACCGGACGACGCGAAAACCTCTTCCACCTACGGGGCCGCCCCACGGTGCCGAAAGCGTGCGAAATGTGACGTCTTTGGTCCTGAGCTTACTACTGGTCAGAGCCGCTAAAGGCTTCTTTTTAGACGAAATGTAAAATATAAGTGGTGCGAACCGTTTAAATTATTTATAAAAGTGGTTTTTGTTCAGTATTTTAGATCAGAAAAGAAACGAATGCAGTTCATAAAGTACGCAAACAAAGGACCCGTCGACATACCCGCCACCAAGCGGCGGGTGAGGCGGCGCATACTAGAAAGGAATAGTGGGATCAGCTGCGCCGACATGGAAAGGTCCCGGATGTACGCGGCGGCGCTGCGGTCGTATGGGCTGGAGGATCCGACCGGCTCCGGGCGTTCCGAAGGCCTTCGGCGAGAAGCTTTGTTTTGCGGTTTGGCCGTTTCGCGGTATGGCAGCGCAGAGTGGCTCCCATTCTGAACTGATCTTTACCCCGTGTTTGCTGTCGTTTGTTGCCAATGAAATGTCATGCCGAATTAGTATTTAATCGCGCAGAAAATGGAATGAAAGCCTCTCTGGCTGCATACTGTAGTGGCGCCCCCTCGCGCCGGCGACACGGAGTGCGGCAGCCGTGAGTAGACCTGTGGTCAGAAATCGCCGGCGGCGGCGCGCCGGTGTTCGTACCCATAGCGAGCGGCGCTATGGTGTACTAGAACTGGCGGCGCTCACTCACCGAGGGCACCGCCATGTTTCCCCCGCCGTCCTTACTCTGCCGGTCACGTGACCCAAAATTCCCCATCGTAGGGAAATCCGGTTAACCGCGGTTAGCTAACCAGCTTCGAGCAAATGGGCCCTGCTGGTTCCGAAAAAGCGGGATGTTCATATAGGCCAATCAGGGCCCCGAATCAATACGACGTCTGCCGATTTCTACACATGAAAAATTTACCTGTTGCTTCATATTTTGAACTCCTTCAATGTAGCTGTCCACCTATGATAAAATTTAAATGAGCAATGAATATAAAAAGGTGGAACTACTTAATTTTTATCTGAAGACGTTGACAAAAGGCAATAATATTTCCATGTTTGTAAAGAGGCGTTACTGGAAACTCTGTTTCGAATCGTACAAACAAGTTTTTCTGCAAGCAAATGACACACTT